CGCGAAAAGTTTCGCGATTACGCTTTCTACAACACCCATTAGCGGCTGAGCGGTAAAATTACTGAACACTGGTAGTTCGGTTAAACTTCTGAAACCCGGAAAACGGGCTGGCTGCATGGGTGTTTTCGTTATTTTTTGCATGTGTAACGCGTATTCAGTTCTTCTGTATGCATACGTGAGTAAAGCGGGCTGAAAACGCAAAACCGCTGAACACTGGTAGTTCGGTCCAACTTTCGAATCCCGGCGAACAGGCAGGCTCCATGGGTTTTTTCGTGATTTTTCGCATGTGTATAGTGTATGGAGTATTTTCTGGATGCATATGTGAATAAAGCGGGCGCAGCCCGCGCAAAGCCGCATAACACTGGTAGTTTGGTCGAACTTTCGAATCCTGGCGAACGGGCTGGCTGCATGGGTGTTTTCTTTATTTTCTGCATGTGTAATGCGTATGCAGTATCTTCTGCATGCAGACGTGAATAAAGCGAGCACAAAACCGCTGAACACTGGAGTTCGGTCCAACTTTCGAATCCGAGCGAGCGGGCTGGGAGGATGGGTGTTTCCGTGATTTTCCGCATGTGTAACGTTTATAAAGTATCTTGTGGATGCATACGGGAATAAAGCGGGCGCAGCCCGCGTAGAACCGCTGAACACTGGGAATTCGGTCCTACGTTCAAATCCCAGCTAAAGGGCTGGCTGAATGAGTGTTTTCTTGATTTTCCGCATGTGTATAATGTATGCAGTATCTTCTGGATGCATACGTGAATAAAGCGGGCGCAGCTCGCGCAAAACCGCTTAACGCTGGTAGTTCGGTCCAACATTCGAATCCCGCCAAGCGCGCTGGCTGCATGGGTGTTTTCGTGATTTTCTGCATGTGTATCGTGTATACATTGTCTTCTGGAAGAATACGTGAATAAAGCGGGTGGAGGCATCGGAAAACCGTTGAACGCTGGTAGTTCGGTCACACTTTCGAATACCACGAAGGCATCCATACCCTGATGTAGCGGGCTTCAACCCGCTAGTTACATCAATAAAATCCGTAAATGATCTCGAAATACACAATATTTTTGGAATAAATATGAATCAATAATATAAGTTAAAATCTTCCAACGTATTACATAATGTCACATGCAAACAATTTTATAAACTATTAGCTGTGTTCTTCGATTCTGATTAATAACATAACAAGCCCACGAAATTCATCGTGGCAAAGAGGGCAAAATTACGCCTGTTGTTGACAACAGCCTTGAGTAGGTGGTAGTTCTGCTCCTAATTTTGAGAAAGAGCACCCCGGTGGGGGGACAAATTCGAAGGTCTCCCACCTTTCTTCCTCTACCTCTAACCTCTCTAGAGGACTTTCGGCTCACCGCATATTTAGAGTACCCTCATGCCGCACAGGCACTATACATTTACAAACACCCATGCCTTCTCCGAGGTTCGAACCCGAACCCTTCGTAACTGCAGTCAGCGTCACTAACCTCTATTCCGGTTGCTAATCTGGTTTAGCAAATCTCTTTTGTTGTTATTATGAGAAATTAATGGGTAATGTAGTAATACTGTAGACACAATTTTTCCCGCATTCTTCGGGAAGAGGACTGGAATTCTAGATACTTGATGGTCTGAGGCTTGAATCAGGAATGATCAATTTCTGTCGCACAGGAAGGCAGTTTAAGATGCTTGTGGAATTACAGGCAGCACACCACGTTTTGTTCAGCCAATATTTAGGAGGAAAAATAAACAAGATTTTTTATTTCCAAATTGACAGTTATGTTTATTAGAGTTTTTCTTTTATTTTTCAAATGTTGGGCCCTCAGTCGGCATTGGCTTGGCCGCTGTTAAGGCCATACATGGTGGTTACTTTATTATGGAGGTACCTAATATATCGGCTACCCTTTGCCTCCTATAACGTGACGGGTAGTTACAACCATACCTTCTCCGGGATTTGAGCCCGGGTTCTTTGGTATCGCAGCTGATTTCCCTAACCAATATACCGTCTGGGCGACTTATTTGAAATTATTATTACAAGTGTTTTTACAGATTTAATAATAATGATAATAATTGAATTTATCATCATATTCAAGAAAATGTTTCTGCGTTTTAAGTTAATGTTATAATTTGAGCAGAAAATTGAGTTTGTAATCATGGGAGGAAGTTGTTATAGAAACTACGTGGTAAGTGCAGAAAGCACGTATTCCGGCTCTATTCCGCGAATAACGTTACGAGGCGAGTTAATGTTATGGGGCGGATTTTGAAAGCAGATCTCGCTAGACTGTACTTTCTGGTACACTGGCAGCTTAGGGCTATGTTTTTTTTTTTTTTTTTTTTTTTTTTTTTTTTTTTTTTGTTCATGAAGGCAGTGGAATGGCTATTGCTACAAAATATCTCAAGATGCAGTTTAAAGAAAACAATTCTAGATCTCACGTTGCTTATATTATTATGAGTATCTTGCTTGGATCTGGTGCACTGCCATAGCTTGTCGCGTCACCGGTTTGAAGTCATCGGTCATCGAGTAAAAGTAGCTGACAACATACTCTTTCTTACCATCGATCAATACATTGTTCTTTTAAAAGAGGCACTTCGAGCCCTCCCCACTTGAGATCGTAACTCGGGTCATCATTATTTTCAGCGCCTTTTTTGAGACTGCAATTGGAGTCAAGCCTTCATTCATGAAGCGAAGCTTGTTAAATGGAAAGAAACAGCAGAAAAATTGAGCCACTCAAATTGTCTGCTGCAGCTGTCGTTTCCATGGTCACGAGGCAATCGATCAGCGAAAATGACCTTGAAGTTCTTATTTAAAAGCAACAGTTTGTATGGCTGGTTGATTAGCTGAGCCTTAAAGGAATGTCTTATTGGAGAACTCATATTGAAGAAGAAAATCCATTCCGTTTCTCGGAAGCCAGGTCCACCACGAATTTCTAGGAATCAGCTGTCTTATCTTCTCATTAATCTGTGGGTCTTTCATGTTTAATGTGCCCACGCTTATTGAAGTAAAACTAAGTCCAGAAACAGAATTTGTGTACAAAGCTCGCATTTTGCAATCTTCGATTTGTCATTTTTCCCACAGGTAAATAGATGAGTCACAGGTAAATACATTCATAACGTCCTCATTACAGAGCACTTTATAGATCTGTTTACCTGTGGCTTATCTTAAAGCGCAAGAAAAGAGTGAAAATTATATGATATAATTTTAAGACATTTCCTGAGAATAAATAATTTCCATACAACATTGTTTTTAGCCCAAAGGCTCAATTTGCCCGGAAGGGATATTAATTTCGTTTTGACATTTTGCGTTGATTCACTACAAACGGCGAATAACTTTTTAAATTGTTGCTATCAAATATTAGAATCCTGTATTATATTTAAAAAAATTAAATAATAAAGAATATGCATAAATAAATGTCTGTATGTTTCTCGCATTGTTATAAAACTACGGTTCTTAGAACCATCCAATTTTGAATAACGTGCTTCTCCACCCAAATATGGGCATCTGGAAGCCCAAATTTGGAACTTGGAATTATCTTTATTATCTGTTTCATATTTTGTAAAACATTTATGAGTTTATGATTAGGAAATTCAACGATTTCACAGCGAACAAGGACAACACTGTACGGAACAAAAACATTTATCTCCAGCTCGCGAAATTGTGTATCGGAAATTCTAAAGATATATAGTTTTAAACATTTTGCGATATTGCTATTGAATTGAATTTTATGGTTTAAGCGCGAAGAACATGATATTTAATAAATAAAGGTAACACACAAAACGGTAAAAAACGTCACTTTGGGCGTAATATAAACTTCGAAAGCTATCTTTTTTTTTTTTTATTTTAGTCCTAAGGGATTTGAATCCCGAAGGACTATTAGTTTCGTTTTGGCATTTTGCGTCGGACGGATAAATGTCGGTTCACTTTTCAAACTGTTGCCACAAAATGTTAGAGTCCTGCATTATATTTTAAGAAATTAAATAATGAAAAATCTGCATAAATGTATGTATATTTCTCGTATTGTGATAAAACAACGGTACATAGAGTCATCGAATTTTGAATAACGTAATCCTCCAACGAATATGAGCATGTGGAAGACCAAATTTGAAATTTGAAATTTGTTTTATGATCGATTTCCTATTTTTTAAAACTTTGACGAATTTTTGATTAACAAACTCAAGGATTTCAAAGCGAGCAATGGCAACGTTGTACAGAAAAAACATTTTTATCTCCAGCGCGTGAGTCTCTGTATCGGAAATTCTAAAGATATGCTCGTTTTAAAACTATTTTGCGATATTGCTGTTGCACTGGATCTTATGGTTTAAGTGCGAGGAACATGATATTTAATAAAGAAAGGTAACACACAAAATGTTAAAAAAACGCCCCTTTGGACGTAATTTAAAATCTGAAACATTTCAGATTTTTTTTTTATTTATTTATTTTTTTTATAGACAGCTCTTCATCTTGCCAATAAAATATGATAAACAACTGGTTAATGAAAAATTATTTTTTTTATAAATAAGGATGCATTAACTTATAACTATCATGTTATATACATTGTTATCAAATATATCAACTTGTTACAAATCAAAACAAATTTTTTTTTAATTGCGTATATTTATGCTCAGCAGTTGAACCATACGTAAAACTTTGTAAAATATGTCTTTACAAAATGATCTAGAAGGTTTTGAACAAATAGTATAGGAGCGTTGTTACCATTAACTATTACACAACTTTAAGCATAATATAATTTATACAATAACACTAAAGCCACTGAATTCATTGGTAGTGTATAAATGAAAAGCAAGTATCAATGCAAACATAGTCCACAATCTATATAAATGGTGTCTTACTTCTAATTTATTAAAGATTTAAAGCAATGCATCTTTCGAGAGGGATTCATTTCATCGCCAAGAAGCAAGCACGGTGACCCCCAACTATTTAAAATTCGGTCACAATCCTGCCTAGGGTCATCTTTACTTCCCGGGTATATAAACTAGATTCCTACCCGGACGTTAATTCACGTGCATTTCCACTCGTAAAGAACTTCTCAAACAGCATGGATGATCGACGAATCTTCTGCCTTCTGATCCCCCTCTTGGTGTTCCTTGCTTTCGAAGTTCAAAATGCCCACTCGCAGACGCTTCTGTTAGGGGCTTGCCCTAACCCACCTGTGCAGCAGAACTTTTCCGCCCAAGACGTGAGTAGAATTTTAATGATATATTTTGGTAGGATTTTTTTTTTTCTCAATTCTGTTTAATTTCTTACGTAGTATTAATAATGTCTTATAATGTATATCCTATTTCAATTTTTTAACTGAGATGAAATCAGAAAACAAGAAATCTCACTATTCTTTGCATACAGCATAACATTCCGTTTCGACATGTATATAGAATATATGGTAATTTTTCAAAGACGTGCTTTGAATATTTTTCTGAAAAACTGGTAGTGGCTCTAATTTTATATTTCAGATCTGAAAATATATATATAAGTATTATTTTAAATGTTGAACTACTTTATTATGAATATACATATTTCTCCACGTTAAGCTATACAATTACATGAAAAGGAAACTTCTTTTCAACTACAGAGCAGACGATAAAGAAAATCAGTATTCGTTGCTTAATTTTAAGAAATAAATAAAATATTCCGAAAATGTTTAATGTTGAAAGATTTTGAAAATTATGGGGTATTACGAGCAATCTTTACAAAGTTCTAATTTGAGAATATTCTTTTACAGAACTCTAACGACTAAATCAATACACCGCAAGCTTAATGTTGCCAAAAATTAATGACTATTATCATAACAACTTATTTTCTGATTGATACAATAATGCCCTTTTATAAAAATAGCACAACTGAGCCTTTATATTTTTTATCCAAGAATTGCTATTAATTTCGATTTGGCATTTTGCGTCGACCACTATCAAATGGCATTTCATTTTTGAGATTGTTGCCATCAAATATTAGAGCCCTGCATTATATTTAAGGAAATTAAATAATGAAGAATCTGCATGAATGTATGCATGTTTCTCACACTGTGAAGAAACAACGATTTCTAGAGACATCAGATTTTGAACAACGTAGACCTCCATTCGAATAGGGGCATCTGGAAACCGAAATTTGGAATTTAGAATTTGTTTTATTATTTATTTCATATTTTTCAAAACTTTGACGAATTTTTGATTGACAAATTCAACGAGCTCAAAGCGAGAATGACAACACTATACGGGATAAAAAAACACTTTTATCTCCAGCGTGCGATACTGTGTATCGGAAATTATAAACATTTGCTCTTTTTTTTAATATTCTGTGATATTGCTGTGGAATTGAATTTTATGGTTTAAGTGCGAAGAATTAAATAGAGCTAACACACAAAACGTTCAAAAAAACGCCGCTTTGGGCTTAATATAAAATCTGAAAGCTTTCAGATTTTTTTTAATAAATAATTTCAATTTTTAACATTATAACGCGATTTTTTCCTTGTGAGTTAAATAATAAGAAGTAATATTTCAATCTGAACAAGAATCAATTATTTATTTTTTCGTCATTAATATATAATTTATTTTTTCCTTAAACAAATACAGATTAGAAAATCTTTAACCCTCATGTATACAATATACGTTCATTAGACAGCTGCGACTCATGTATACAATATACGTGTACGGAGCAACATGGATGTTACTCTGGTTTTCAGTTCAGCTGGGTACACTTCCTTTTTCCTCCTAAGGGACAGTTTACATTATTCTTATCATTATAAGGGCACAGCCCCGATCCTCCTAGCCGGCACAAGCTATGTATGATCAGAAAATGTGACTGGCCAGAAGGAACCGTTTGCATATATTATAGTCTCTAACTTTTTAAGAGTAACTTCAAGGCCGTTGCCAGATCTCCCGATTTGCGATTGTAAGGCGCGTCGTCATCACCAGATGGCATTTATTTTCTCCACCTTATTTGAAATTATATTTCAAGCCAGGCGCGGTTCATTTGCGCGTTTTTCGTGAAGCGAAACACACTAAACGGAAATAAAGTGGAAAGAAAAAATTAGCTACTCAAATCATATCCTGCAGCTGTCATAATTACTAGGCAAGTCAGATAGCGGAAAATAACATTGAAGTTCGTATATTAAATTTATAGAGTCATTAGGTTTTTTTTTTTTTTTTTTTAATGCTGGAGAGTTGAAAAATATGGAGTGACTTCGCCGGGACTCGAACCCTGGACCTCTCGAATACACGTCGAGTATGCTTCCAATCACACCACGAAGGTATTTGGAAAGGAGGGGAAAATACCTTATACATCCCCTTTTAAAGGGCGACTGGGGATTAAAACACCCGATCGCCAAATCCTTTTGGTGACGATTTATCGTCCACCACCTTTTAGTTCGGGCGCCACTGTACAGTCATTAGATTTTCTGATGCTGGAGAGGGGAAAAATATTCAATGCCCTCCCCAGGACTCGAGTCCTGGACCTCTCGAATACGCTTTGCGTATGCTTCCAGTTACACTACGAAGGCACGCGAAAAGGAGGGCGAAAATTTACCTCGTAAAATAACAACCCTATACCATAGACAATTTTTTGAAATTCATGTTCAGTGGAAACGTTATTACTTAGCTAACACTAAATTATAATAAGGAAATAAAACACTAATAATAATAATAATTAGGAAATCGAACACTAAATAATAATTAGGAAATCGAATCTCTGTTGTAACAAAAAAGGACTATAGTAAGCATTGTAACATTCAAACTTTGAAAGAAAAAAAAAAGCTTAGTAATTTTTCGCAGTTTTCTTGCATTTCTATTAATTACTTTTTCAGAGTAAATAAACCTGTGTAAATGGCGATCATTGTCGAGTGGGTAAGACCGCTGAACTCTGGGATAAAAGTCTGGCTCGGGTTCAAGTTCGTGGCTGACTGTACGAGCATTTTCTAAATTTTCCGTTTCTCTCGGATAATCATAAATATTTTTAAAGGATTTATTTTAGATATGATTCAATTAGCTTCTTATGGCTAAGATTTTTTTTTTTTTTTTTTTTAATTATCAAAATTTTGTTTAGTTCTTAGGTCGTTGGTATGAGGTGGAGAGAACTTTTGTCATGGCAGAAGTCGGATGGAGATGCATTTCCGTGGATTATAAGGAAGAAAGTGGAAGAATTCGTGTCGAAACGGCTGGTACTGCAGTGTAAGTATTTTTATTTTTAAGGAACTAAAAAATTTCTACCAGCACTTAGGGTGCTGTTATATAAGCCATGAGAAGCAATACTGCATTATCGTAATAGGGGTGTTAAAATTATCAATTATCAGTTAAAAATTATCTAACAAGCATGATATATTAGTTAACGAAAGTTTTTTTTAATATGAAAATTCAGTCTCGAAGTTCCATTGGAGTTTTAATTTAAAGCAATAATGCGCGAATGATCTGAATTTAAGTGTGAATAGTATAAATTACACTGCGAAAAAAAAAAAAATGTTACAGTTCTATATCTCTTGTTCTACTGGGACGATTGAAGAAATTCAAACTGATTTTCCCATGTCTCGAAAACGCATGTTACGATATATATTAGATTTATATATAGCGTTGCTCTACCACAGGTATTTTAATCGGATTTTTTTTCTGTAATAACATACCCATTTTTTCCATATCTCGATTCTACGAATCTAATTATGCCTATATATTAAATTTTGCAATTTTTGGTAAGAAATTTAAAAATTTATCTTGGCGCATTTTTTTTCAGTTTCAGGAAAGAATGGTGAACTTCTTAATTTACAGCAACCCATTTTCCTTTCGTTTTCTTCACTGCCCGCGAGCGTAAAAAAAGTTATCGTTCCTACTTTCAAATAATTTTAACAAAGTGCGTAAACCACATTTTCGCTATTATAAATTACAATAAATACGCCAACTTTCAAAACGCGACAAAATGTATATTCACGTATATCTTAGGAAATTTTGAATAAAAAACTCTAATGTTTTGCAGGTGTGCTTGGAAATACATCTACTTTAAGATAATGGCAAAAATTGTGTAGCTTATAATTCAAAATTTTTTTTCGAAAAATTTACAAAAATTATTATAAAATACAAATTTAAAAAATAAATCAGAAAAAAGGGCGAATTTATTTTGGAATGAACCTAAATTTCGAAATATGAACGGAAGAATCAAATAAGTTTAATAAAAAAATCTGATATGTACGCCACATGACTTCCTTGTACGGAATATTAAATTATACGCATTTTTTCTTGCATTTCGTTTAAACTTAGCCCACCAGCGGCCGAGCGGTAAAATCGCTGAACACTGGTAATTCGGTCCGAGGTTCGAATCCCGCGAACGGACTGGCTGCATGGGCGTTTTCGTGGTTTTCCCCATGTGTAACGAGTATACGAGCCAGTTTAACTTAGAAAGTCCTCCACGAAGGCATCCCTCCCCTTAGGCAGATAGCCCTAGTGTGCTTTGCCGTATTCTCAATACACCACCACCGTATACACCGTTTAAACGTATTGGATTGAATTAAATCTACTTCGCCAACAGCGCATAAACCACAATAGAATAAATGCATTCTTTAAATTTCACTTTGTTTACCATAGCGACACTCTGGCGCTAGGTTTACTTAACAGTATTATATTTCGTTCATAACTCAGAATGCACAAAATTTATACCATTTAAAGAATTAACTAATCGTTGCCACATGTTCTATTCAAATACTGTAATAAAGCTAGAACGATGTATAAAAGAAATTAAGCAAACAAAACAAAAGCGAAACAGTTTTTCACAGACAATTGAGTATTTCTTATTCAATTAATTCAGTTCTCACTTCGCGACAAGGCAAAAATGCATAAAAACTCAAAATATCTCTATTAAAAATTACGAAGTAAATCTTAAATACTTATTTTCTCGAAAAAATTCCAGAAAGGATTAAGCATGATTTTATTCGCAATAATAAATGAAGGCGTTATCTTTGTTGTTGCGAAGCTAAATTTCTCTATATTGGCAACAAATCCACTATCCTGCTGTTTCAAATGTAAAACAAACAGTGGCCGCCATCAAAAAAAAAAAAAAAAAAAAAAAAAAAAAATTATTAGGCTTAGCGGCACTTAAACAACTTTAAAATTGTTGATAATTCTTAAAATATTGCATACAGATTTACTAAAGGCATAAAAACCTTAACCGGAAGATAAGAACAACACAATTCAATCATTTTTAAAGCAAAAAATGTACAATTTACAAACATAAGAGTAAAGAAACTGAGATCGCTGAGCCGCGTAAGAGTGGATATATATATAAATATATTTATATACGTTTAGTGCGGCCGATTGCAACCAAAATACGAGGTGCACATCTGCATGTTATAACAGTCCTATGTACAAAATTTCAACGTTCTGAGGCTACTCGTTTTTGAGTTATGCGAGATACGTAGGTACGTAGGTACGTATGTTCGTACAGACGCTACGAAAAATTCTCTTCAGAATTCATTTTAAAGCTGTTTTATATTTTTTTTGGAGGAAAGGAGTCTTTTATTCTGTCCTTAAGTACAGATAGCGCGCAAAAACATTGCTAAATTGCATTCGAAAGCGGTCAAAATGGATATTTTAGTTGAAATATGCTGCCTGAAACTTTTCGCGATTATAATACTTCCTTTTTACTTCGTACAAGGAAGTAAAAGAGATATTAATAAATATATATCAAATTCGATTAACATGAAGGAGGTGAAATTTTGAGAGCTAATTTTGTAAAAACTTCTCGTGTGATTTTTACAATTTGGCATAATTTGAGTCGTACAATCGATATATGGAAAAACATTGGCATGTCATTTCAGAAAAAATCCGATTTTGTGTCAAAATATCTATATTAAAACAATGGTAGATATATAGTAATCTAATACATATGTTATGTCGCGCTTTCGAGACAAGAAAACCGCAAGTTGAATTTCGTCAATCGGCCCTATGTAAGAGAAGATATAAAAGTGTCCAGTTTTTCGCAGTATACTTATAATAATTATTATGGGTGATAATCAACGAAAACGTTTTCTTAAAATTTGCATAGATAGACAGTTTCAACATTTATTTTATCCATTCTTAGCTAGTATGAAACATAAGTTTGGGATAATATTTCTGTAGATTTATGCGAAATGATGTAAGCATGAAGATTAATTCATTAGGAAAAGGAAGCTTAAGATTATCTTCAAAAGCAAAGATTTCACGTTGCCATATCATCCTAACAAAATAGTGCATAAAAAGCTACTGCATAAGAATTTTAAACGACATTGCCACGCCTCGTATTATAAACATTTTAAAGCATAGGTAACAACAAATTACGTTGGGAAATTTTAAGTAAACCTGAGCCTCTATGAGTTTCAAAATCTTAAATGGTGATTACAGCCACAGATAAAAGAAGATGCTTCTTTAAGAACTTCTTCAGAACTAACTTCTTACCTGATTTTTTTAAAGAATGTTATGCCTCATCCGAACAATAGCATTTTTCTCATAATTTTCTGCATACGCCGTCAATTCTACTTCATCAGTTAGATTAAGATGCAATTGAGTTTTTATCTCTTTTATTTTTTTTAACATCATGTTTATCTTTTTTGTTTTACATTTAATGATTTCTATTAGTTATGAACTTGAGCACACTGCGTCGTCGCAAAATTTCAGTAAGCAATTATCAGTTATCCAGGAAAGAATGAGTCCAGTTACATTTATTCCTATCGGAAAATCGTTTCGGTTTATTAAAATTTCCGATGACGAACGGCCTTCGGGAACGAATTAAATTCGAAAACCGAGGTTTCCCTGTACTAAGATTTCCAATCATTGGAAAATGTTTGCACATAATGCTTGTAACTGCACCAAGTAAAAAAGTAATTACGTTAATTACGTTATTACACAATTAAAAAGTTATTACGTTATTACACAAAGGGCATCCTTTTTGAGTCAGCTGGAAATAACTAGTTGGTACTATAAAAAATTAAATCTCGTTTATACATTCTTCAGCTATTTGCTATTTTTCATATATTAATGATGCCTATTGGTTGGGATTATTAATGATTATTAATGATGATTATTGGTTGGAGAGCCAACTGCGATACCAAAGGCCTCGGGCTCGAATCACGGAGAAGGCATGGTTGTAACTATCAATCTTTTCATAAGGAGCAAAGGTGGCTCACCTATTAAGTGTCTCAATAATAAAGTGACCACAACTTCTGACCTTAGTAGTGGCCAAGCCGAAGTCCACTGAGGGCCCGCCATTGAGAAAAAAAAAATTCTCTCCTTCTTAATACATGAATTTAATTTGCAATAAATTTTTAGACAAAAGGGCGTTAGCCCAGAAGGGCTATTAATTTCGTTTTGGCATTTTGCGTTGAATAACTTTCTTCACTGATTCACTTTTCAAACTATTGTCACCAAATATTACAGCCATTTATTATATTTAAAGAAATTAAATAAGGAAGAATCTGCATAAATGTATGTATGTTTTTCGCACTGTGATAAAACAACGGTACCTAAAGCCATCAAATTTTTAATAGCGTAATCTTTCACCGAATATGGGAATCTGGAAGCCCTAATTTGGAATTTGTTTTATTATCTTGTAGAGTTCCCCACTTGTAAATGCTACGTTGCAGTTGAGCGTGAAGAATCTTAAGATCTGATAAGCGAATAATCGCTTGCGTTCGTGTGAAAAGAAACAACAAGATGGAAGGGTATTTATTATTCAAATAAGATTTAACAGAACTCCGTCTTGGAGTGTACAATAAAAGCCGACACTTGGGCTTGAACTTAAGAGGCTAAGAAGTAAACTAAAACTAATCTAAACTAAAGAGATATAACCCTTAAACACGAGATGACTGCGAAGTTATCAAGGGCCGAGCGTAATAGCAGCTTTGAGAGAGAGTAGCCCAAAAGGCGGACGCTCGCTAATCAGAAACTCTGATTCTCTCTAACTCAGCAAATAGAACTACGCGGTTAAATACCACTCTTCCACATTATGTATTCAGACGTGATTCTAAAACTACGTTCTGGCCGGAAGTAGTAAGTTGAAAATAAGAATTTGACAGGAAACAAGTTTACCTCAAAATTTAACTGTTAATAGAATTAACATAATCTTTATAATCTATTTCATAATTTATCAGACATTAACAAATTTTTCATTACCAACGATTTCAAAGCAAGGAATGGCAACACTGTACAACCGCCTTTTCCCAAAAAACACCACATTTTTATCTCCAGCGCGCGAGATTGTGTATCGGAAATTCTGAAGACATGCTTATTTTAAAATTAGTTTGCGATATTGCTGTTGAATTAAATTTTATGGTTTAAATGCGAAGAACATAATATTTAATAACTAAAGGCCACCTTGGGGGTAATATAAAATCTGAAAGCTTTTAGATATTTTTTTCATTATGTATTGTTTCTTTTTTTCTGTACATATAATACACAGATACACATGAAATGTTATAATAAGCAACACTTCTTGTGTCACTGAACAATGAGTAAATTTGAGTCTAATGTTTGAGAGAAATGGTTGCTCTTTAAGTACAGATCATTATTCATTTTATCAATGGAAACGAAACTGGAAAGCAGTCAATAAAGGTCACAGATACGAACCATTTATATTATGTTACATGATAGTTTATACTTTAAAATTATTTAATAATATATGAAGAATTCCAAAGTTGTTTAAATTTAGACGAATTAGGTAAATATACATTGAAAAACCAACAGATTTTTGTCATTTATAATACATATAACAGGCGCGTTTTCGGATTCAGAAATTGGGAACGGTATTATATTACCATTCAAAATCAGAAAGATGCATTAAAAAAAAAGACGTGGCTCGGAATTTATAATAATTATTGTTCCATAGTTAAATATTCATATAAAATAGCTATTATATAAATTTTGAAGCATACAATACTTCAAAATTCTTATAAGCACATATTTCATAACAAACTCCACGGTATCCGTGTGTATCATGGCTCACCAGCAAACTTTCAAGCTGATTAATCTCGTGATTGTTTTTTTTTCCTATAGGGCATTAAACATTGAAACTGATAATTATATCTGTGAACTTATTTAATAGTATTAAAAATAATATTTGTTAATTTTATTTCAGAGTTAGAAGAGTAATGACTGCTGTCGCAACATTCTCACCTAACAGCCCAGCACGAATTATCCTTAGAGGGGAAGGATGTAAGTACCTAGACAGTTTTATATTATGATATTAAGTTTATATTCAATTCCAGTTATTAAGCATTAATGAAAGAAACTTATTACAACTAAGAAAAAAGCTTCCCCGTATGTATATATATGTAAGTATATTTCACGCAAAAGCGTGATCTAGCAGTCCAGACAGTATAGTGGTTAGGGGAGTAAACCGCTGAGTTGGCTTCCGACCCAGGTATAGATATATCCATGCAGAATTGGTTACCAACTCGGCGGGAGTCAACCACTAGCTGCCATGCCGCATCCATGGGCATCCCCGGCTGAGCAGACAACATTTATAAAATGCAAAAAAGAAATATGCATGTGCATACAAGGCACTTGAAGAAGAATACAGCAATGTACAATGAAATATACATGTGCATACAAGGCACTTGAAGAAGAATACAACAATGTACAAAGAAATATATATGTTCACTTGAAGAAGAGTAAAATCAAAATAAATGTATATACATATAGATACAAACTCAGATACAGGTACACTTACATACATATATATTCCGAAACAAATAAAAGTATACATACTCTCACTCATATTCATATATACATCTATATATATGCGATATCATGGTAGTTGAAGTTTACATGAAGCATGCCATTGAGGTACGCGTGATCCTTAGTATAAATTAGGTACCATAAATAAAAGATATAAACATGTACAGATACATTACAGCATTCAGATACAGTACAAACTTTATGTGTGAGAACCTGGCACAGCATAAATACAAAATTACATATTGAACATACTTATCACATACTCTGTTGCTGACATATTGAACGAGCTTATATAGACTTTTATGGCTACTATCTTCCAGCATCAGAAGATTAATTGCTGGTACAGAAGTCAATTATTGTTTTCAGTTTCCGTTGGGCAACTCTGTTACTTTGTAGATTCTGGAACCAATTTGGCCAGAATCTGGCTCCTGGTTGCTTGAGGCTTATAAGTTCTGTGTGTGGGCAGGAGAATACAAAATGGTCAGTGGTTAGGGGGTAGGGGAGCCTATTGCGGTCTCGAAGAGCCCGATCTTGAGTCCTGGAGAAGGCATGGATGTTTGTAAATGTATAGTGTCTTCCGACCATGGGGCACTTTAAATATATGGCAATCTATTCTCTCCATGTAGCTTGATGGTAGGGTAGAGGGGCTGTCCCTCAAAATTTGGAGGGAATAGAAGTCCATCCTCCTTGAGGCTCTGGCAACAATTCTTCGATGAAATTCGAGGACAACAACAACAAGCGTGCTGTACAGTATAATGAACTCATTTAAGTGACTCTTCGCAGTCACACCATTGCAAAAGATAAAATTATCTAATATAAAATAACATCTTTATATTTTACAAATGACATTCATTTCATTGACATTTAATTGACGTTTTATTTTGCATTAGCAAAATTTCTACTGACTTGAAAATTCCAACAAGGAAGAAGACTTGAAATTTCAGTACTAAAATTGCTGACGTCTGTAAACAGTTTGTGACTCCTTATTATTAAAAGCAGCCGAAAAAAGTGTCGCTTAGACGATATAGTAGGTAGGGAAGTCTACTACGGTACCGAAGGGTCCTGGTTCGAATCCCAGAGTAGACATGGATGTTGGTAAATGTATAGTGTCGGTGCGGCATGGCGGCACTCCGAATATGCGGCGAGCTCAAAGTACTCTCGTATGGATTGGTGGAAGGGGAGAGGGTCCCCCGGGGGTCCTCTCCCTCAAAATTGGGAGTGGAAAATAGAAGTCCTACCTCTCTTTGGAGTATGCTCTGGCAACTATTGTTCCATGTAATATGGACACGACAGCAACCGAAAAAAGTACAAGATGGTCAGAAAGTCTGGAACGATTTACAAAAGTTGTAAAAATGTAATTATAAAAAAATTACGAAGATGGATATAACTTGTAGTAATTTACATAAAAACAAGAAAACGAAACACAAGAAAGGTGTCCCCCTCCAGGAGATAATTATTTAATTCAATGATTGCCAATGTAAGTCTCTGTAATCACTGAATTACAACAACAATTGCAATCCTACCCAAAGTAGTACTGAAAACCTTTTATGAATTATATATCTTAAAATTTAATTGTGTAAGCATCCGTCAACAGAAGATACTATTTTATTCTTTTCGAATGCCGTTTAAATTGCAAAGATTTCGCAAGTATGATAAAACACCTTCTGTTGAAGAAACTTTGAGCCAATATTTATCGTTTGGGCGAACTCTCATTCTCTTATGCCAATTTGCTTAATTATTACAATTTTTAAAAAAAATTATAGGCTTTTTTGGATTATCTTACACATGTACTATTCTGCATTCTTAACATTTAAAAATTAAATTTATTTAATGCATTTTAATGAAAACTGAATATGGAAGCTATCATCAGAAATTATATAAATAAGTAATCAGAATAACATCAGTTAACACTAATGTCAACTTACTCTTTAATCAGAATAATAGCAGTTAAAACTAATGTCAAATTACTCTTTAATCAGCATAACAGCAGTTAAAATTAATGTCAAATTTCTTAGTAATCAGAATAACAACAGTTAAAACTAATTTCAAATTACTCTTTAATCAGAATAACAACAGTTAAAACTAATGTCAAGTTCACTTTGAAGTTAAATCCCAACAATATGGGGAATTATAAAAACTGAACAAAATATCTATAATACTGAAATAAATTTAGTTGAAAACCTGTTTTAAAAGTCTTCTGCTATTGCTTTGAAACCAAATAAGGTTGCAGTAACAAAATGACGACTAAACAAAAATAACAAAACAAACAGAAAAGTATTAAAATGACGACTAAAATGCATTTTAGCTAAGTTTATTCGTTATGTATTTTCAAAATGTTTTGTACCTGGAATTTTCATTCAAAATTGCATTATTCCAATAGCTTCCCATACATTAGAAATTGTTTAAATATCATGTATCTTTTACAGCCCTACCGACGCAGAGTACCAACTATGTCTTGTTTACGGATTATGAAAATGTGGCTGTAGTGTGGTCCTGCAGAAATGTGGAGCCTCCAATTCCAATAACAGGCTTTGATTTCTTACGAAATTTCACTCATACGGGTAAGTGTAGAATTCTTTCTGCAATTAAAAGCAGAATTTTCTTATTCCTGTTGAATTTTACTCTCTTCCTTTCAAAAATATTACTCTACATCTCTCTCCTCTACTGTTCTCCTCTCTACTTTTCTCTCTCTACTTTCTCCCTATTACTCTACTTTTTTTTATTTCTAATCAAGCCATCGGTAACAGCTGCATATTTCCCCAATAATTTTCATCTAGAATGTTGCAGAGATTTATTCAGTTTGACTAACAGTTAACTTTTAGTTAAAGCAACTTTCCTTTCACTCTCGTTTTCACCGATTCGTTCCTGCCAGAATGTTGATGAAATAGCGCGCGTAAATTGAGGTACGAAGAGGTGCTGCTTAAGCGAAGATTTGGGAAGGTGATTTTAGACCGTGATACTCCATCTTGAAGGCCACGTTGTTATTTTGAATTAATAGTGATTTGATTCTGTAGCGTTGAGTGCTTCTAGCCATTAAGCTTGCTTCTACCCGCTTCTATGAGTCAGAGCCTTCCTACGAATTAAATTACCTGGTGAAACTTTAGGCTAATTTAATTGCATTTTATTTTAAGTTCATCGTTACCTGTTTTAAGTTAAGCCAGAAGTGTTGGATTTATATATGTCCAAGTGAGGCCATTTCGTCAATTATATTTGTTTGAATAAAGGGTTCTTTACATCCTTCTTCTGACTTTTCTGTTACACCGGGTACAATTCCTTATACAGTCTTCTAGAGCTTGTTAGTTTACGTTACCTATGCGAACGAGATTCTATAGTGGGTTTTAGAATTTTTCCTCACTTGCTTTATAAGTCAGTGCAGTGAAAAGATAATTGCTATTACAGAAAAAAATTATTTAAACTGTTGTGGCATAAATTAAAGAATTTCAACTTATAATTTACTAAGAAGAAGCAAGTTCTACTTACTTTGCAAAATGTTTATTTATTCCCTGTTATCTATTATTAATTTTGTAGTTTTTATTATTTCTGCAGTCATTTATTGCTTTATTACTCTGTAAATAATTTACTTGAATTTTCAAATGTGTAATCAATTTATATTTTAAGCTGTTTCAATATTTTGAAAATTTCTCTGAAAAAGTAATGTCCAAGGGTAATCAAGCGTTCTTTTCAGTTTCATTTTATTTGATAAATATTAGTTCTTTCTAGCTTCGTTATTCAACAAACCCTCCATTAGTCAAATAGCAGTGTTTTAATTTAATAGTGTTATTAAAAGTCTGTAGTTAACTTATATTTTTGAACAAATATCCATGTATTTGTCAACTTAAAAAATAAGGACCTTCTTATTGTCAAAAAACGATATTAACTTCTGAAGACTCATTAATTCTGTTAAGAATATCGTTTTCTGTATTTATTATTACACTCCAATTTGTAATATTTAATTTTTAGAATTTTGCAACTAGTTTTCAGATATATTCAAAAAGAAAATGTTTGTAAGTTTAAAATTAAGTAAGCTGTTCTACATACGCATCTTATTTTTACTACTGCATAAAAACTTCTGTATCTAAATACTATGTTTAAATTATTGGATTACGTTAAATTTGTATGCTGATACTTAACAAATTCTATGATAAGATGCCTTAGAAATACAACCAGCTGTGGCAAAGCAAATTTTAAAACAAAATCAACTCGTTGTTTATTATGATTTCTAATCAAGCTGTCGGTAGCAGCTGCATATTTATTCACATCGTATCCTCTGCAGCCTTCTTTATACTCTAATTACTTTTTTCTGTCTAGCAAAAGTGTTTTGCTAAAAGCTGATAACAGGTGGAAAAGTCTGCAAACGACATTCTTAAGGGGACTCATACACCTTAAACCCCTCATGATCTTCGAATATGTGACTATTGCAAGAATTGGAATATTTTATTTATTTTAAAAGCAATTACTTCCAACATTTTACAGCTGACTACAGGATATAGCTGCTTTGGAAATTAGTAACCAGAAAGTTTGTGTTGCCACAAATATTTTTGTAATTTAATCCTCTTTGTGACAAAATATTTCGCCATGTTTCCACCTTGCGCGCATGATATTTTAAAAATGGCTAACGGTACATACTTAAAATTTGATGGAATTCTTTATATGGGCACTATTTTCTAACTGAACCAACAATCTGATGAATATTTTAATATTGAAAAATTTTATGGACGAAAACATTACAAATTTTTTAATAAAATACATTTTATAAACTCAACTCCAAATAAAATAAAAATTTAACATGAAATTTTTAGAATTTTAGGTTCACAGTAGTTTCCAGATGTTATAAAAGCTATATATTAAATATGGAATTAAATTATGAAACAGAATGTTTTAACTGTGCGCGCAAGTTGAAAACATGACGAAAAATGTTGTCACAAAGCGGATTAAATTATAAAAATATTTGTGGCAACACAAACTTTCTGATTACTATTTCAGAAAGCAGCTATATTATGTAGTCAGCTGTAAAAAAACTGGCAGTAATTGCTTTTGAAATAAATAAGTTATCCCAATTCTTGCAACAGTCACCTATTCGAACATCTTATGGGTTTTAAGGTGTATGAGTCCCCTTAAAGAAATGCAGAAATAATAAAAGCTTGCTCAAAAACACACAAAACATAGTACAATTTCGAAAATAAAATATCTCAATCAAGGAAATGTGACCTTGCATAGTATTCAACATATATACGTTGTAAACAGTTACATATTAAGAAGTTAATAATGTTTTTAATTGAATGAAGAGAAAAATGTTTTTAACTGAAAGATGATAAATGTACTTTTAACTGAGAGAAGATAAAAGTGCTTTTAATTTAACTGAAACATAAAATTATTAACTACGAATTAAAAGCTTTGTCTGAAATTTATCAAATTTATTAAATAAATAAATGATTTTAGACTGTATAATTCAACATAAATCAACTTATTATGTTTAATTATTAATAATATTGTAGAATTTAAAAATTTTAAGGTTTTATTTGAAATTTCATCTGCTATTTGTATAAATCTCTCCTATGAATATTGAGTTTAAAAAAATCCAAAGGTAAATTAATATGAAAGTAAATCCGAAGTATGTTAGAAATTTGGAATACAATAGTCGGATTAAAGGAATGTACAGGTTTTTAAATGTTATCTCTTATTGGAGCTTACGATGCCTATGTAGTCACTGCTTTGAAAGGTAACATCTTAAATGCGGCGTCAGTCTCCAGGCACAGACGGTTAACTTTCCCCTTGGCCGGCGTCGGTCCCCAAGGATCGTCAGTTTAAAAGTTAGCAAATAATTCAGTAATTTCAATGAAATTTATTAAACTTATTTATAACATATTTATTTTAATTTATTAGCCCAAAGAGGCGTAATCACAGTAAGGCTATTAGTCTCAAAACGACACTTAGCGTTGGTTCACTATAAATGTCCATTTCAGTTTTGAAATTATTGCCATCAAATTTTATCGCCCTGTATTATATTTAAATAAATTAAATAATGGAGAATCTGCTTGAATGTATGCATGTTTCTCGTATTGTGAAAAAATAATGCTACCTAACAATGTCTATTTCATATTTTGTAAAACTTTAACAAATTTTTGATTAAAAATCTCAACGATTTCAAAGCGAGTAATGGCAACAGTGTAGGAAAAAAGAATTATCTCCAGAGGGCAAGACTGTCTATCAGAAATTCTCAAGATATGCTGTTTTAAGATATTTTTAGCCCAAAGGGACATTAGTCCAAATGTCCTCGAAACGGTTATGTGTGTGTAAATGGAAAAAACGTCCCTTTTGCCACAATATAAATAGTCTGGAAGACCTTCATATTTCTTTTAATTATCTTTATATTAGACACAGCTTTTATTTTCAAGTTCCATTCCCTGTCTTAATGAATTATCATGTTCCAACAATGACAACCGGAATCCTGGGCGATGTTGATGGTTGGATGATATAAAAAATTCACTCGATGTATCACTGCCTTCTTCTCTTCCGAATATTTTCGGTTTTATGGGCTATAAATACTTTCAAAAACAAGCCAAGATTTTCTATTCTCAAATCGTCTCTACACTTCCATGGCGTTTTTCTAACTAATCGTGTCTAGGAGTCCGCTTTCTTGTCCTTTGTATACGTGTGCACTGGTCGTATACGCGTGCATTTATTTATAAGTGTACGTTTGTATACGTCTGCATAATTGTCCCAGTCCGAAAGCAAAATATCCCACCAGCGGCCAAGCGTTAAAGCGCCTGAACACTGGTAGTTCATTCCGAGGTTCGATTCCCCAGAATATGCTGGCTGCATGGTCGTCTTCGTGGTTTTCCCCATGTAACGTGTATACGAGCCAGTTTCTCTTAGAAAGGTCCTCCATGAAGGCATCTCTTCCCTTAGGCAGTTAGCTCACCGAGCTTTGCCGTAGTCACATAAACTAAACTAAACTAAATTGAAGGAAAAATAAGAAGGATAAATAAAATAAAGTAGTTCTCTGTTCATTCTTCCCTGCGCTCGCTCGCTACCGGCTGAACGGAAAGGACAGCAATATCGGCTCCTTTTTCAGCGTGTTATACAGCTGATTTTATAAGGTATTTCTCCCACCTTCTTGGCGTGCCTTCGTGGTGTGGTGGTCTGCACACTGGGGTGTTCCAGAGGTCTGTGGTTCGATTCCTGGCGAAGGCGATTGCTCATTTTTCATCTTGCCTGCTTGCAAAAAATTACCTCAAGTCTCTACACTTTGATTTTAGCCATGAAATTAACCTTTAAAGGGATTAATCAAAAGATGAAAATTTACTTGAAAACTGTCTATTACGTTTCAGTGGTTCATATTTTATGAATATTTACTGTACGCTTATCAATCTACAAGTTTTTATCTTGTAATATTTTTAAAACCATAGAAATACACGTAATTAACATTGAAAATTTTAGTTACTCTATGCTTTCTATGTATAATTTAATTTATATTTTGCATCTAATTCTAAACAGAGGCAATCTACCTGTTAATTATGTGATATTTACAAAATCTAAACTAGACCTATTTAATGAGAAGTTTGTGTTTTCGTATTTGTTCGGAAATATAATGATGATCACATTTCAGTAAAGATAACTCTTGAAGCGTTTTTAGTACTAAAATACGCCACACTTAGTGGTATAGACTTATGGTGATTAGTGGAAAGTGATTGCTATCCTGAAACCAAAAGTTTGTGTTCAAATCCCGCATATCGGTTATACGGTATAATTATACATATATATATATATAGTGTGTGTGTGTGTAATAATAAAATTCCATAGTCAAAAATACACCTAAAATTCTAACTGTATGTTCTTTTCATTTTTAATGGCGACGGTCTCTTATTTGAAAGTACGTGGAATTAAATCCACAGCCCCGTAGTCAAATTATTTTTCCCGCCTTTTTTACACGTACAGTTATAGAATGTTCTGGAGATATTTAAAGCAAACTGGAATGGCTGACGTCATTTCTTGGAATCTCCGCCTTTCCAGAGGCTAAAAAGGACTCGCAAAGGAATATCGGGGTCTTTTCTTTAATGTAACGATGCAGTAAACTTCATAAAAAAAGTTATTAGTAGTTCTTTTTTATTTACTCCGGAGATATGAATTTTTGTAACTGCTATTTCTCCTGACCAATAATAAATGGATCCTGTTTTTTAAACTTATCGTCTGATAATTTAAGCTACGACTACATCTATATTTCTTCGCCAATCTATTTATTCCGGACAAAATCTAGTACGTCCCATATCTATATATATAGTGGTACTGAGTTAAATCACATTGTCATCTGTAAGGTGCTCAAAGCTGTCAGACAAGTGACAACAACAACAATAAACAAAAGCAGAAGGAATATATGAGTATATTTTCCTTTTCATTCTGTTTCATGCTTGCACTATCGGTTTAGTCCCTGTGGTTATGGTAACAAAGAACCATGTTCTCAGCAATAGGGTGGCTAAATGACTAAGATTCGGCCATCCCTTTGGGGATTTTCTTCCATGGGGAGGGGGGGGGAAATAAATAACGAGGAGAAAGAAAAATATTTAAATGTAGCATATATTTTGGCTTATTTTGCTATTCGTTAGATTATTTATTCCTGTAATTCTTTATTTCAATATTGAAAAATAAAATTCAATAAAGTTAATACAAAACCTAACTTATATAAGTGCGGTGTTCAAGAACAAGAAGGGAATAATCAGTGCCCTTCCTAAAACTTTGAATATAGTTGAAGAAACTCAAAAATCTACGTATATGTAAAACGCATGTCTCTCATCGCAAAGATACATATCCTGTGATCATTTGGAAGGAATATCATGTGATCAAAAACACACTCATTGTATATTATCACTATTACATAGTCTTTTCAAGAGCAAAATGATACGTAGTGTTCTAAAATGACTGTGACAGAATACCTCTTGAATAACTGCTCATAAACCCATGCTTCAATTTAAGAAATAAATATAATTTTTTTAAGTTTTTCAAATGAATATAAGTTTAGCCATGATAATTCAGTCAATATAAGTTTTAGGATTTGGTAAAATTTAATTTGTGCTGAAAAGTTCAGTTTCGAAATTTCAATTTAAACCTACTGCAAGAAATTTCAAATTAATAAACTATTATTTATTCTACGAAATGTCTTCTAGTTAGAAATCTGCTTTGTAAAAGGAAAAACTGGTCATAAAATTTGCTGAAATTGTATAATTTATACTATTACTGATTACAAGAAATGAAAAAATATCGCTTTATAAGGTCGTATAAAAATGATGTTCATTAAGGGGGCTCATACACTTTAAACCCCTTATGATCTTCGAATATGTGACGGTTGCAAGAATTGGGATATTTTATTTATTTTAAAAGCAATTATTTCCAACTTTTTACAGGTGACTACATAATATAGCTGCTTTGGGAACTAGTAACCAGAAAGTTTGTGTTGCCACAAATATTTTTTATAATTTAATCCACTTTGTGACAAAAGTTTTCGTCATGTTCCCACCTTGCGCGCAAGATATTTTAAAAATGGCTAATGGTACATATTTGAAATTTGATGGAATTCTTTATACGGGCACTATCTTCTAATTGAACCAAAAATCTGATGAATATTTTAATATTAAAAATTTTATGCACGAAAAAATTACAGATTTTTTAATATAATGCATTTTATAATCTGAACTCCAAATAAAATAAAAATTTAGCATAAAACTCTTAGAATTTTTGGTTCACAACAGTTTCCAAATGGTATAAAAGCTACATATTAAATATGGAATTAAATTATGCAACAGAATGTTTTAACCTGTGCGTGCAAGGTGGAAACTTGACGAAACATTTTATCACAGAGCGGATTAAATTATAAAAATATTTGTGGCAACACAAAATTTCTGTTTACTATTTCAGAACGCATCTATATTATGTAGTTAGCTGTAAAAAGTTGGAAGTAATTACTTTTAAAATAAATAAGTTATCCCAATTCTTGCAACAGCTACATATTCGAAGATTTTATGGGTTTTAAGGTATACGAGTCCCCTTAAATAAAACATTTTTGGCTTTAGAATTTCTACAAAGGGAAATATGTAATAATTTTATGTGTAAATAATTCTATAGTGTAAAAGGTAAGCCTACATTCGGAATTTTCACATTCGTTATTTTCTTTAGCACTACTTGTCCACATTTCACAATAGTTTTCATGAATGATAACTCCATTAATTTTAAAACTATGAAGAAAGTATATTTTTTACTAATTTGTGGTAGCAAAATACTGTTCTTTGTTATATTTATTTCTGCAAATACAGTATAAAAATTTATTTTTCATGTATTTTTACTGAAAACTTTCTTGTGACCAAAACCGTCGTCATTGAAATATCTGCCTAACTTTGATTCACTTATGAAACTGACACAACAGACCAACAATCAGTCAGAAAGCTACGAATCAAATCCGAGAGATGCGACTTTAATCATACAATCGATTTGGAATATCCTGTCCCCTTTGGAATTCCAGTGGCAAAGAGTGCAATTAATACATTGGTTATCTGATTTTATACAGCTCTTTTTCTAGTTATTAGAGTGACAGATGAGAAATAGTAATTTATGAATGATTATTTATTAGATTAATTCATTTGAAAAGTTTTGGGATTTTTGCCATCATTTTTGTTTTTTATCTTTCCAGAAAACTTGTGGATTTTATCACGAAAAAGGAAACTTGATCCAGAACTTAAGGAACATATCTACAGTTTCTTGGATAATAACGCCATCAACAGACGTAGCTTGAGAGCAGTTCCCCAGGAAAATTGCCAAAGTTCCGACACCACCACATGAGGAACTTGGAAATGAAAGTCGAAGTTTTTCCCAACGATAATTTAAAACAATCTTCTTTATTGTGAAATTTGTCAGTGTTATGTCCTGTTAAATACTTTGTTAAATTATTATTCTTCATTTCTGTGTAACATCTGCTGGCAGATGAAAAACTAACTTAATAAAAACTTTATTTAATATACTAAAGTAGATTTTTTTATATAAAACTTTAAAAAGTTTATTGTTGTTTGCTGTTCGATTAAGGTCAAATTTACATTCTGATAAACCGTCGTTAGATGAATATATAAACAAGTTCAATACACATAAACTATTTATTGAACTTAGTAACGAAAATGTAAAGAACAACTGCAAACAAAACGTTAAGGACGTCTTTTAAATAACTTAAATGAACTACAAGTTCTTCATATGAATAAATACGATAATTTTAAAAATTAACAAATATTTATTCAGTTAACATGCAGACTTAAATTAGCATTGCTAACATAAAAGGCATCAAAAGAAAAGCTGAGAACGCTGCGTTCTAAACATTACATAAAAAAGAAGAAAATATTTTCCTTTATAACACTAATAATCGTTGTCATTCAACAACAAGAAAAGTAATAACAAAAACATAAGTTGAAAATAATAAGTGAAGTAGTAGTTAATTTTAAATAACAATATTAATTATTGTACAATCTTTAATAGTAATCTTATTTACTTGAGAGCGGTCAGAAGCTTAACTGTAGGCTACATTTGAATGAACAAACTAATGCAAAGCCGTTTTACAGTTTTAAAATTAAAATATCGCATAACTCTTTAAATATTAACGTGAAAACTGGTGTAGGTACATAGGAACTTATCATTAGCTGAAATCATACTCAGCTTAAAAAGAGGAGCGGAAGGATTTAATTTGGATTAAGTATCTAATAGCGGATACACATAATTTATTTCCAATAATTGTAAACAAAATTATCAATTCCTGCTTTCTAGTGAGGCTCGAGACATCTATACTGGCATATTAGCAGCAATAATTCTGTTCAGTAAGATATTTCAAGTTTTGATTAAACGGAATTATTTCATATTTTCTCTCTGCCATTTTCTACAATAGGTCTCCTGTATATGCCTATCACTTTCCTTGCTCGTATATACTACGAACGGATTCAGCTCTCGGTGAATGGCTGTTTGGAAAAATGTGCTCTGCATTTCTCTGTGTATGATATAAATGCTGGACAATTTGTCTTAAAATGTTCTCTGCGAAAGCATTCCTTTCCTTGGCCAAATTAATGCACTTGATCTTTACCTTAGTCAATTAAGCAAAAACCTAAACCTTTGGCATCTCACCATGAGCTGTTGAACAGTTATATATGCTAGTAATTCGACCTAGGTCGAACCCAGATTGAATTACTAGCAACTCAGACGAAAACGCTGGCTGTATGGTTGTTTTTTATGGTTTTTCCGTATGCAGCGTGAATGCAAGTCAGTTTTCCTTAGAAAGTCTTCATAGTAAAACTTCTTGCAGAATAGAAGAGAGGAATTCTGTAGAAGCTAAACTCTAATGAATGTCTTCTGCAATAAAAACTACTAGCTCGTATCTCATCCAGCATATTCATTGGATACGTGTCCAACAGAATTACAATTCCTTCAGTCATTACTTAATTTTCCTTTGAGGTAAGACTGTAATAACACAAAGAATCTTCGCGGTAGAACAACGAAATTTCTTTCACGGTGTCAATTCTTTCAACAGAGGAAAGGAATTCTACATAAGAAGGGTAGCTAAGTTACCGAATGAAAGACAGCAGTTTATAGACAGCAACTGAAAACATGTTACAGATTGAGACCCAGTAAATGTGCTCTACAACGTAATACAATCTTTTTATTGAATAATGCAGTACCTTTGAAGCACCATTTCTTGTTGTAATTTCTTGTTACCATAATAAATTGTCGTTTTGATGCATTAGTTGCTAACGATGTATAAAGTCTTTCATAAAACTTTAAAAAAGTTTATTTTTATATGATAAAGAACTGAACTGACAGAAACCGGAAATTAATGTTAAAAACGACTTTATGAGTACAAGAAATGATCAGTCATTTAAAAATAGTTATTTACAATAGAAGCAAGTCTTTATTAAAATTTTAAATAAGGCAATAGTCGGTCTTAAACTGTCATATTTGCATGTTTAGAAATAAGCTATAAAATACCTAATTCATTTTACGTTACTGAATATTTTTAATTATTTATATTTAACTGTACATAACTAATGTTTGTTTCGTCCATTGTTGGCCAAGTCGATTAGACCTCTGAAAATTAGCTTTCCTTGTTTATGTTACCAATTAAATGGTTTGATGCATGGAATTTTCGTGCTTTTTCCAATATGTAACATGAATACGAACTTTCCCATGCAAATTCCTCAACGAAAAATATATCCTTCAAAGGTGATAATTATTGCATAGCAATGCGCATCGTGTTTTTCTTTCATAGATAATGAACCAAGCAAACAATTAACTCTTTTTATTAGTTTCAGGGTTTACAAATTTGCTGCTTCACATATGTTTTTACTTAAATAAATTATCAGGTGACATTTTACTCAATTATAGGTAAATAATATATGTATATGAGTTATTTTAAGCTTTTGGTGGCATGCAAACTCATCTAAAACACCATGCAGTTAATTCATTTGATACATTTCTTCCTTAATATATCAATGATACTCAACGCTAACCCATACATAATGAATGATAATAAAATTTTCCTTTATTAAACCTAAATTTTGAAGAGAATTGAGCTTAAAAGTCCGAAAACTTCCAATTATTATTATGTTAATGAAAAGAAAAATAATATAATTATTACTCAGTATGTGTAGTGTTCCATAATTCACAAAATGATTGAAGTTCTTATAGTTTAGAATAGGAAAAAAACTCCGAATTATTAAAACATTCAAGGAGTAAAATTTCTCAACTTTATTAACAACTGCTTTTCACATAGATTCTACAAAATTATCGCACTTAGCAATCTTGTTTTGTTGCCTTGAGTCGACTGCGATCAATTTTGTTGTCATCTAAAAATTTGTAAATGTTTTCTTTTGTTGTAGCTTCAAGAGTTGGCGTCCTCGATAAAATCCACAGGTATTCTGTTACAAATAAAGAACCTGAATTAGTTATATTTTATAGTAAGAATATTTTTAATCATATAATATTATAAATATTTTAATATTAAATCATATTCTCATGAAAACTTGCAAGTGATCAAATCTATGAAAATCCAATGCGGGTACCATAGGACTGCATTGTACGGCTTATTAAATTCCATACATTTTTTGCTGCACTTCCTTTAAGTTTATTTCCTTAAACTATTTTAACTTAATTAACCGATTCCTCCAGACAAGTCGAAAATGACACCCAAAACTATAAATTTTGAAATTACATATCCCATCAATTTTTATCGTACGGGAGTCAAACTTCTTACAATTTTAATTTTTCATTACAAGTATAAAACTTTCTAAATACAAATATATAAAACTGGAGATCGCTTTAAAAGTTAGATTTCACTATTTGATGAAAATTATTTTATTTAATTTGACATCGCCATAGCATGAATATTTTCATCACTTATAACACTTCGAAAATTGGAAGTACAGTCTAAGCTCTCGCCATTTAGTCTGCAGCTGTCTGTTGCCATAGAAACAAGCCTTGACCCATTTTCCGTGAGGGGTGTCTTTAAGACGAATGATAAACTCTTTTCCCCTCAGCCAACAGTCACCAAAATAACAGTAAAGCAACCCTTAGTTGACCCCTATTTGAAATATACTAGCCCTGTTGCTATAGCGACCGTCACCCGCCAGACACTGTGGCGGGGACTATTCTTTTCGTAGACAGACAGTATATATAAACAACGATTGAGAGAATAAAGGCCGAGTAAGCGCGTGGGTATGTATAAACGTTTGGTATTGCGGATTGCAATAAGAAAGGGAGGTACACAACTAGATGTTATAGCAGTCCCATATAAAGAATTTCAACGTTTTATTCCTAATCCTTTTTGCGTTATTCGAGATACGTACATATATAGACACGAACGTACAGAGGTCACAAAAATTTCTTTTGGTTTCCCTTTTAAATCCATTTTACGAAACGGTTTGTTTTCCGAAACGAACCGTTTCGGAAAACAAAGTCCTGCTTTCGGTCCATACGTATAGATGTCATGCAAAAAAATCGTCGAAATGGATTCGGAAAATGTCAAAATGCACATTTCCTTTGAAATATGGTACACGAAATTTTTCGCGATTACAAAACTTCCTTTACAGGAAGTAAAAGCATGGTAAAATCAAAACTGATAAACTGAAAACTCTTTGGAATATTACAATACGAAGTTGCAAAAGATATTTATCTTTCAAATTAAAACTATACATTGCTTAATTAATTGAGAGATTTAAATGTAATGCATATATTCCTAATAATTTAAAAGTCTGATTGATTTTTAATAATGCCTCTGCTTGATGCAACGTATAATATATATAATTTGCATGATTTACAGTAAGTTTAACTGATTTTTTAAATATTTGTACCATAATTATAATAAGATGTTTCTAACTCGCCATATAATAGGAGCATGAACAACCATTTGAGTTCCCGCCTTATAAAGAAGATTTTTTACTTCCTTGTACGAAGTAAATGAAGTATTGTAATCACGAAAAGTTCCGGGTAACATATTTAAAAAAAATAACCGTTTTGATAGCTATCGAATGCAATTTAATGATTTTTTTGCTTGACATCTGTCCGTAAGGACAGAATAACGGACTCTTTTTCCTCAAACAAATTCTAAAACTGATTTAAAATGGATTCAGAAGAGATTTTTTCCTGGTCTGTGCGTATGTATGAATGTATCTCGCATAACTCAAACGAGTATCTCAGAACTTTGAAATTTTGTATATAAGACCGCCATAATATGTAATTGTGCACCTCCCTTTTTGTTTGCAGTCAGTAGCACCAAGATTATGTATATATATATATAATGTTGTATGATCTTAAATTCACTTAGTGCGAAATGGAGTTATTCTACTACTTGCGCAATTGCTGCACAGTAAGTTAATAATAATTTATTTACTAAAGAATATTGATTATATTATCTCTCAAGATTAATTTTAGTAGAATTATCTTAACAGAGTGAATCCATACCTAGTAAGTTCAATTTCGAAAATTGTTTATATATATATATATATATATATATATATAAACATTTAGGCTCAGGTGAGCTCAGTTTTTTATTCTTATATGTTGGTAAATTGCGCTTTTGCTTTAAAAATGAATTATGTTGTTCTTACTTTAGATTAATTTTTATGGCTTTAGTTAACCTGCATGCAATGAGTGTAGAATTGTCAACAATTTAAAAGTGCGGCTAAACCTATATTTTTTTTACCGTAGCAGCCATATTTGTTACATTTAAAACTTAGCAGAATAGTATATTTGTTGCCAATCTAAAGAAACTGAACTTCAGAGATAGCGTCCTTCATTATTGCGAATTAAATCATGCTTAATCTATTCTGGAATTAATATTTAAGTTATTAAATTATCTCATATATTGGCTCAGCATAGCGTCCACAACAAATTAAGTCAGTTTCTAAGCCTTCAGTGGCATTTTGCCGAATGAGACCAAAAGTAAACTTTCAGTTTTGTGCACCGAAAAATCTGCCTCCTTACTCGTTGGCTGAATTTCTTGTTTTTGCGTAGAAACTCTAGCTTTAATTGTAAAAGTTGCTCTTTAAACTGTTTTAACTGTATTTATGTTTTATGATTTTCTATATTTTTCAATTTTTAATAAACATGTTTTGAGATTTTTATGTAGTTTTGCTTTGTCTCGCAGTGAGAACTGAATTAATTGAAAGAGAAATATATAGCTAATGAAATTCGAGGAAATAAGTTTAAATGAAATGCAGGAAAAAATGCATATAATTTAATATTACGTACAAGGAAGTCATGTGGTGTACACATCAAACTGTTTTAAACACATTCAAGAAATTTTGTTTTGTAATACAAATATATCCATCATTAAATAAATTTTTTGTCAAGCTATATTGCATAATATTTTTTCATTTATCTTAAATATTATAAATGTGGAAATAAATGAATAATTTAAAAAGCCATTTTATTTGGATTTTTACATTAGTCATACATAAGTCATTTTACATTAAATGTTAGTTCGCGCCATGAGTGATACAAAAAAAATAGGATTCTGATTTCTATATACTGTAATTACAACAAAATTTCTAAATCTTCTCATGTATATCGTCTGCATCCAAAATAAAGCTTAGTAATTAAGATGAAAATTTGTAGCACATACCAATGACATTACAAGAATACATATAGTGCACATAGATTTATTTTATTTTCAAAAGTAATAGTTTTCTGTTTATATCAATTTGCATTAAAAAAACAATGAAATTAGTTGCAGCCATTTAAAAAAATTCAGAAATGAAATGAAAAAAAAAAAAAAAAGATCGAGCTTTTTAAAACTGATTCGAGCTGAGTTTTAATTTTAACTGTAAAAAGAGTCGGGGAAATTTTTATTTAATAAGTACAGCGAAATATTTGTATAATTTTTCTTATTTTAAGTTTATTCTGTCTTCAATTTTCAAAATTTTTAATTTAATTAAAAAAAATTTTCAAAATTTTTAAAATTATCTTTGGGATACTAAAATTAAAATTCAAAGTTTGTTTAAAATTTACCAAAAAAAATTCCCAAGTAAATTTAGCATAAATTAACATTCGCAGACATTTGATATTCTTCCCATACATTAATATTTGCTGAAAGGAATTAAAAAAAACATTTAGAATGCAGTTCAAGGATCTTTCCAAATCCAAGAATTGATAACTGGAGATTGAAGGCTTTTACTTAATTCTTATGCTTAATGTTAATCCTGACAGGTGATCAAAATTTCGTTATCACCAAGTATTCTGATTATGAAGGGATATTTAGTTCATATATAAAGTTTAGATATTAGCTAATAATTATGAAGGTATATTTAGTTATCACCAAATATCCCTTCATAATTATTAGCTAAACAGCTGACAGACGTCGGATGCACACTCTGCACAAAAGAAGGGGGGACAAATCTACATCTCTGTTCTACTGGGCTTATTAACGAAATTTAATTTGCATTTTTCATGTCTTGAAAGCGTGTCTTAGGATATATATTAGATTTATGTACATAACATTGTTCTAACATAGGTATTTTGACAGAAAATTGGACTTTTTCTGAAATGACATATCCATTCTTTCTCGATATTTTCTATCTCAAATTATACCCAGATATTAAATTTTTCAAAATTTGTTGAGAAACTTGTCCATAAATTTAAAAATTTATCTTGGTGCAATATTTCAGTTTGCGCCAAGAATGATTCACTTGGTGATATTCTTAATTTATAATAACCTATTTTCCTTTCCCTTTCATTGAACACGACCCGAAAAAAAGTTGCATTGTTTATTCTAACAAATATCCCAAATTTGAAAAACACCAGTATATAAAATTACGTACGTCTTAAGAAATTTTGAATAAAAATATCTGATTTTGTTTAGGTATGTCAAGTAACCTATCTACTTTAAGGTGATGATAAAACTTTTATAAGTTATAATTCAAAAACCTTTTTCGAAAAATTTATAAAAATTACTAAAAAATACAAATTTTAAAAATAAATCAGAAACCATCTGCTAATTTTATTTTCATCGAACCTAAGTTCCGAATTTTAAAGAGGGAATCAGAAGAGTTTAATAAAAAAAGAGATATTAATACATATATATCAAACCCAATGAACATTGAGAAGCTAAAATTTTGTGAGCTAATTTTTTGAATACTAATAGTGAGATTTTTACAAAACTTAACACTTTAGTAGAACTTGAGTCGTAGAATCGAAATGAGGAAAAATACGATATGTCATTTCACAACAAGTCCGATTTTGTGTCACAATATTAATGGTAGAAACAATGCTAAATATAAGTGCAACATATATCCTAAGTGGCGCTTTCGAAACATGGAAAACGCAAGTTAAATTTATTTAGTCAGCCCAGTAGAAGAAGATGGAGATATAGGACTTTACTTCTTTTTATTTTTATTTTAATTTGTTTTGTTTTATTTTGTGTGTATGTGTGTGCAAAGTGTACATTGAGAGAAACTTCGATTAAATAACTTTCCTTTCTTAAATTTAAAATATCACAATTCTAGTTACCTGCATTGAATAACTTGAACAGACTAAAGCATGAGTACACCACAGAATAATTTTCATAATCAGTATCCAAGATCCAGTAGTCAGCCTTGAATGGCACTGCAATTTGTAAAGAAAATGTTCCAATCAAAAAAATTAATCTTAAAAGAAAAAAATTTTTTTTTTACTTATTTACTTCAAAATATTACTCATTTATTCAGCATTTATTTAGAAAAGATCCTTAGAAAAGTGTACAATAAAAATTTATCTTTCAGACCAGTAAAGTTAATGTCTTTAATTATGGCTCAATGAATTTCAGGATTACCTTTGATGAAAGTATTGGCAAAATCTTTTGTAGAAATAGGACCTATTCTAATGAACAATACGGAAGTAACTTTATTTTCACCCAGGATAAATCAATAGCTCTATTTAACTGATTGCTTGATAAAATTAAATAACCGAAGTAATGAAATTATAATAAATTTATTTCTTACTAGACGCTACGCGGCCAGCCTTCGTCTGGCTTTTAAATGTACCAGAAAAATGCCTACAGGGAGCACCAAATATGAAATTTAAAAACTGCACAGAATTTTACTTCGCAGAACAACTTTATCAAAAAAAAAAAAAAAAAAAAAAAAACAGAAATTCTAATAAAAATGTATTATATATAAAGAAATTACAACGAAATAAGCAGTATCCCTTAACACAAATATCAATTATCCTAATAAATAAATTAATCAACTTCCCGTTGCAAAATCTTAAGAATTCAAACGGTATAAAAAAAGTTAAGAACTTTGTTTCCTAAAAAAAATCATGCAAAACTTTTTATATATTAAAACATAATATAAAAAATTACAATGAAATAAGCAATAAACTTCATATTTTCAAGAGAAAAGAGTCAGCAGTCCAGAATCCAAAGCAATGAATGAAAAACTGTTGCCAAAACCACATTTATAAAAGAAAGAAACTCTCATCAGAGAGCAATAGCCAATCAAAATTGTGCATTGTAATGACATAATTCAAAATATACAAACCTTTTTGCCATTAGCTCATAAAGAGAGAGAGAGAGATGAGAAAAAAGGAAATTCTTTCTATTGTGCCTCGCTAGACACATGCGAGTCAGAATAAGAAGATTGCGATGTGCGTGTTGCGCATATAATTATTGATATTTTATCTCATATTTTCAACAGTCAGCAGTCCAGTATACAAAGCATTGAATGAAAAACTGTTGCCAAAACCACATTTCTAACAGAATCAATCTATTCAAAATGACGCGATTTCATCAAAAAAGATAAAATAAAAAAATCTGATTCGAATTTTTAAAAAAATCGCTTTGAGGTGCACTGGCTCTTGTCTAGATGCACTTATAAACCAAATTTCCTAGGCCTGGGTCTATTAGCTTACGCGCAGCACAAACGAAAAAGTCACACACAGACAGACTCCTTTTTTTTTTTTTTTTTTTTTTTTAAATTATACATAGAGATGTAAATGAAGCCTTCGAATAAACAAAAGAATAGTTTTTTTCAATTAAGTACAAAAATATCAGATGTGCACGGAGTGCTTTAATTTTATTTCAATTAAGTTTTCTAAAGGATTAGAAAAGAAATTTTCTATTTTTATGTTAAATTTTTATCCGTTGAACCTGCAGGTAAACTACTCCTTTGAATAATTTTACCATTGAATAAGGTTTTAATGCATACGATTGCAAACGATAAAATATTTTTTAGTCTCATAAATAATTATACTGATAATAGCAAATTTTCCATTTTATTTCAAATTTAAAATGGTTTCAATGTTCCTATAAAATTTTTAAATATACAATTTATGATATTTTTACTCCCAAATCATATTATATGTACACAATTTACGATCCAACATATCATTTAAATTTTTCATCAGATTCAGAAAAATTATTCTTTGCAAATGTTGACAATTAAACTGAACAAATTATGAAAATCTTATGATTGAAAGACAAAAAATAAATACTGCTAAATAAATACTAGAAAACAAATACGGTTATTAATGTCTATCAACCGACCTCGCTTTTACCACCCCAAATGCGGAAAATAGGGCTAACTATTCAAATTTTGTATATGATAAGCCCCAAATAAAACTTCAGGGAAAGCTATAAATGATACGCATTATTATGAAAGGATACTGTCTTATGTGGAACAACTTCTTATCATAAAATAATGGTTTTTCAGTTTTTCATAATTTATTGTGAAAAACTTCTCTTGTAGCATTCCATTTGAAAAAAAAAATGATGTTGGAGGAATATGAGGTAATTTTAAAGTTTTTATTTTAAATTTGAATAAAAGAAATTATTTATTCAAATTAGTTTGTTTATTAATACCTAATAAACAGTCCATCAACTCGACAAAGAACTGAATTGTTAATAAATCACCATTACAGAAAATTTGTACTAAAATACGAAAACTGTTATGGGAAATGACATGAAAAATATAGTATAGGTTCAATAAAATACATGAGTAAAAACGTATGTGTAAAATCGAACATGTGTAAAATCAAAAAGTATTATGCGTTTCGAATTCCTTAATTATATAACAGTACTTACTGTTATTGAACTTTACTTTCAACTTTGAAGGAACATTCTTATCCGGAATGGTGGCTTTGCCTTCGATTGTGCTTTCTTTTCCAGATCTTAAAAAAAAAGGGTAGAAATTTTAAGAAAAATATTATGACTGAACATAACAAAAAAACATTCGTTTAACTCTTTCGCATCGAAGTCGCCCGTAACGCCCGTCCATTCAGGCAACGGCAAACCGCCCCAACGCCTCGTTTATTTTCTACCTAGTTTTTTCCCCTCCACGTTAGTGTATGGCTCATTGGTTTCGCGAGTTGTTAAAAACATGTTAATCATTCTTTTGAAGCAAATAAAGGAGAAATACGGAAAGCTATTGACGTTCGCAGGTGCAATCCGGCCCTAAGGTGAAACTGCACGCAATGGAAGAAACCGCAGAAAAACCCCCAAGAGAGAAGTAGTCTTTCCTTAAGTAGGTTGTTGTTAATGCTGTAGCTGTTTACTGGGGTCGAAAGGAAAACTATTCCAAGACAAATTCGTAAACACGGGCGTTTTCGATGTTTGTTGAAAACAGATTTGGTCGTCTCTCGATGCGAAAGAGTTAACATTTCTTTCCGATTTGACACCATCTCAAAGATTGTTCATAGCCTGGTATAAATGTTGCTTTATACAAATATTTTAAATATTGAAACGTCCTTTTGAAATTTAAATATTAAAAGTAGTTTAGTTCTAGAGTCATTAGGCTATTTTGATGCTGCAGACGTGAAAAAATGAGCAATGTTCTAGCCGAGACTTGAACCAGGACCTCTTGAATACGCGCTAACCATTACCCCAAGAAAGACATGCTAAAAGAGGGAGAAAATACCTTATATACTCCCCCTTTTAAATTGCAAAAGGGGATTAGGGCACCCAATCGCCAAGTCCTGGTGGTGAAGAATCATCATCTACCATCTTTTGGTTCGGGGCCAAAAGATGGTAGAGTCATTAGGTTATTTTGACATCATTAGGTTATTTTATTTATATTTATGTTGGAGACGTGAAAAATGAGCAATGCTCTCTCCGGGACTCGAACATGGACCCATCGAATACGCGCCGAGTGTGCTAACCGTTACAGCACGAAGGCATGCTGAAGGAGGGAGAAAATACCTTATATACTTCCACCTTTTTACTCTGGAAAGAATTTTAAAATTACGGGGATTCAAGAATACGGCGATACGCTTTTCATATTTAATGTAAAACCAGTGGCTCGTTTATTTCCCAACATCTTCGAAAACTTTGCAATTTAACAGTTATTCTTATTCCAAACGACAGAAAATAGATGTTTTATGTTACTTCAATTTTCAAAAATATATAAGCAAATTAATTTTCCTACGATACAAATAAAGTTACGCAGATATCAATATATCTGTGCATATGTTAGCAATTTTTAGAATTTCCATAAACTCAATTCCTTTGCTGTTTTTACAAGCAGTTCTTCGAAAACATTTGCGAGCTTTAAACGTTCAATAAAATTAATACAGTTTTATGTACATATGTACATTGTATTCCGCAATTCTGAAGTAATGATCAAGTTCTAGCAATGGCCAAGTGGTAAACCTCTGAACACTGCTAATTCGACCTGGCTTCAAATCTTGACGAATGAATTGCCTTTAGGAGATTTTCTTGCTTTTCGCCATGTATAATATGAACACGAGCCAGTTTCCCCTAAAAATATACCACGAAGCAGAAATATCTTAAGCTTTTCCCTACTTTGCCATAATCTAAGTACTACAAAATCTAACCTTGTATGTAAGAGCCCACACCCTTGTTTATCGGCCCCGGAAGACCTCTTATATACTCAGCCCACCTGGGTCCAGTATATAAGAGCAGTGAACATTGATAGTTCAGTTCTGTTACTTGAAAATGGGAAACTATCAAAAGGCTATTTGCTTAAAGAAATAGATACCTTCATGGATGACTTTCTGAAGAAATTTGGGCTTATTTATATTACGCATGGAGAAAACTACGACAATCAACCATGTAACCATCTCGTTAGCCTGTGGTCGAATTACTAATATTCAGTGGCCTAAAATCTCGGCTATTGCTGGGGACACTGATAATTGGTTCGAAGTCTGAAGTCCTACAGACTGGCTGACTCCATTGGTATTTTACTTTCCCAAACGCATCCTTCCACCTTAGGTAGATTGTTCCCGCGCACTTTGCCATAATCGATTTTAAACAGACAACCTAAAATATTGTTTTGTTTACCGGAAGTTTATAAAAATATTTACTTTCTACTGCCATCACATATAGAAAATAATCCTTTTATTAAAAAGCATGATATCTTTTTTAAAGGTAAATTTTAAGAAGATTATTTTAAACGCTTTTAAAGTTATGCATACTAAATTTTGCTAAATACACTTCAAGTCTTCTTAGCCATATTTTCTGCCTTCATTTTATACGGTCTTCTTGTTTTGGAATAATAAAATCATGCCGTATCTAGTGTATTATAGATAAATTGAAATTTCTTATTTATATTATCCAGTTAAGAAGTGTTTCGATTCCAATGGTAATCAGTTTATTCCGTATTAATTCTAAGGAATTAAAAATATTTCTGTCAAGAATTCTTGGTGTAAATTGGTTAGCATATTAGTGCCCAAACATGAAAGATATATGCAAGCATTTAACTGTGGATGAGGAAAGGTTATTTTTCATATACAGACTGACTCCGAACTATTGTTCAAAAATCTACATGTAGATCAGGAACACTGTAACAAGCAAGAATCATATAGGCACATATGATTGCAAACGCAAAGCAAACGCGCTACATACCCACAAAGCCAGAGATTGAAAGATGCGAGACAGGTCACAGATAATGATAATTCATTACACGAAGAGGAGTTCACGCAACATTTTAATTTACGAGGAAGTGTTAAAGCAGGTGTTCAAAGTTGCGACCTGCAGGTATAATACGCACCTCGCAAAGACGATGCAGCGATTGACAAACATTCGCAAGAATGCCTGGTGTATTGGCAATAACACCATTTGCAACAACGATTCTTGCAACCAAACCATTTCCGATTCCTCACGGGTTTCATATCCTAGGTTTTTCATGTAACCCAAAGAAAAAAATCAGAAGGGGACAGATCTGATGAATAAGGTAGCTAGGAGATGGACCCGGACCAATATCTGAACGCTACATACCCCGGAAATGTAGCGTTCGGATATTGGAGGAATGCGGGAATAACTGAGCCCCACTGGAGCTCCTTCATGTTGAACCCACATTCGCTGCTGCACATGGAGCTGAGCAACTCTCGCAGGATTTGAACCAGAAAGGTGCAGTAAGTCTCTCCATCTAGGATAGATGTAAGAAAGCAGGGAACGATCCTTCTATAGCCAAGCAAACCTGCCCAGACATTGATGCTGCGGGGAGTGGAGCAGCATGTGGCTCTTGGATTTTCATGTGCCCATTGCAAGTGCCTTCCAGCGTAAACATCGCTTCGTCAGAAAAGAGGACGTCAGCTACAAAGTTGGGGACCGCTACAGTCTGCTGTTCAAACAACGTGCAAAGTCCAATCCTGCCACGGGCACAGACTGCATACGTTGCACGTGGCACGGATGCAACTCGTCCTCTTCTAAGATACGCCAAACACTGTATTGAAAAGCACTTAAACGTGCTGCGATACTTCGATTACAGGTCCCTGTGTCGTTTGTCTCTGGTCCGACAGCATAGCTTCTTCCAGGCTAAGTGTCTGCCTTCTTCTGTCAACACCATTACCGTTCATTTGCGTTTCGGAACGTCTCCAGCTTCGCTATAAGCAATCGTCAGAAGAGGGTTATGAGTAGGGATACGTCTTTTGGAAAACGGGTAACGATACACGGCTAGCTGCTATCCACTGCAATAAGCTGTCCCGTAAACGAAGTACATATCTGTCACTCTGTTCGAGTGTAGCGATTCATCCTTCCTTACCTTCATACACCCAAAATACGTTTTTAGTCGTTTCTTCCTGGCCCGCTTTCTTCACGCCCTCTTGCGCGTCTGGGTTGCGCGTACGACCGTATGTTCATAGATAATTCTTGTTTATCTTTCTGTTTCTGATTAGCATGTTGATTTTGAAGCAATAGTTCTGAATCACTCTGTATATATAGATATATATTATAAGCTGTTCCTGTTCTTTACAAAAAAAAAAAAAAAAAAAAAAAAGGAATATTTACCTTTCACTGATTCCTCTGTTGACTACAGATATATAATCTCCTTTGTCTTCATATTTGGCTTTGTTGCATTTCAAGCCAGCTTCGAAAGGTGTAGGATTTTTTTCGATTTCATACCATTCCCCAACGTACTAGTGAAAGGAAAAAGGAAAATCAACAATGGATACGATGCTATTACGTTCAACATGAATAATTTTGACTTACTTATTTATTATTTCAAAACCAAGACACATATGTTCATTGTTAAATTAAAGCAATAAGTGCCTTTTTATCGTTCTTTTAAAGCTTTTCACTTTCATACCAATCAAATTTCTGCTTGTTTGCAAAATGTAACACTAACACACAAAGATAAATTAATTGCATAAAACCTGTTTATAGAGAAAGGGGAATAAATTTAAATCTGTATTAAACCTATTTTAACCTGTTATATGCATGATCATATTTATCTATAATTATGCTCAGTAAATTAATGACACACAATAAAAATTATCTCTCGTTAAATTTGTGAATACATTTTTCATACGGACCCTGTAAAACTGTAAAACATTAAATCACTGTACCAAAGCAACAAATTATCATTACATACTTGAACTGTGCGAGAGAAATTCATGACTCAACAATAATTAGTTAATTTCTAACTTGGTATGAGCGACTTTTGGCGAAACGTTTATTTGTTAATAATTAAAAAAACGACAATTCAAATTCCGATACAATTTTTGCTGCTGTTTACAGTAGTCTTACGAGTATTACGTTCTCTTCTCACTCGCTACTTTTTTAGAAAAGTTTCTGCTGCTAGCAGTTCTACTGTAACCATGACTGAAAATTAATACAATAAATAACTATCTGTGAATGCCATTTTTTATTCATTCTGTATCGCATTTGTATTAATTTCACTACTTTTTTTTTTTTCAAATTTTCATTTCGAAATAATACTTGCTCATCATGATTTACATTTTTAACTATTTCTTAATGCCTAACTACATGTTTCCTTTGTCTTGATTCCTTACATTTTGTGCATTTCTTTTAGATTTTTTATTATGCATAGATGAGAGTCTTTCTTACATATTCCAGTTTTACAATATTTGGTAAAGAATTCAAATTCTTTCTTTCCTTTTGTCAATATTATGATATGTCAATATTAATATTTCCTTTTGTCAATATGTCAATATTGTATGGAATACTTCAACGTAGATTTTTTTTAAATTGTATTATCTCTCAATCAGTTTGTAACTGCACCATATTAAACCGTATTTTTTTAACCGTATTAACTGCCAATCAGTTTGTAACTGCACCAACTTTGTCAATATTCTTTAGAGCAGTATTTTTCATCCACCGATTATTCTTTGAAGTCCGGTGAATAATGGCAACTGCATTATTATCGTAAATTTTGATTATTTCTGCTATTGCCACTTGAGCAAAGGAATAAGCGACTTCAAGAAGCTGACAGGTGGCGCTTCAGTATGGTAGATCAGGGATTCTCAACCGCTTGCCCAGCGGACCGTCACTGATCCGCTGTTTTTAAAATGCAATGATTTTGTTATTTTTTAATTAACTTTCTGAGATTTTTCTCAAAGGTTTATTTATTTATATATGATAATTATACTCATATTAATAATAATTATAATTACATAATAATAACAATATTTGCTTATCTTTACATTTAAACATTATTGTAGGCAAATGCTAATAAGAATGTTACAAGTTGTATAGTAATTCTTGAGCACCTTGTCAAAATTCTTTAGGAGGAAGAGGGGAATCATCGGTCCGCAAAAGTGTTTTCGTAAATTTTATCCGTTCTCGGGTCAAAAAAGGTTGCGAAGCATTGGTTTAGAGCTTTCGTTATGCGATTTCATGAGCCCTGTATGGAACAAAAGTTCTTTATGTCATAAGTTTAATTCTCTTAACTCGTTACCTTCAAATTATATAATTAAATGACTCACAATGACCTTCTGTTTAAAGGTTTGAATCAAAACTATTGTCATTTATGCAAAACATTCTTTTTCGACACGTGTCATGAGCACGTGAGATGAAAGTTCATTTTTTTTAGAAGGGTGTAAAATTTGTTACCGTGATGAATGAAACTTTGGCAGTTACGTAACATATGTGGCGATTAATTCAGTAACTGTCCTCAAAAACAGTAGGGAGAAGTTGATGCCAGGTACTGTAAACATAAAATTTTGAAAGAGGAAACAAATCATACAGGAAAGTTTCTACGCCAGAATTGTTTTCCTTTCAAACACAAGGACAACTGTTGTACTCTATCATTATGTCTCTCATTCATTATATTCTGTTTCAGCTGTCTTTCTGTTAAAAAGGCATAAAGCTGACAGGTCACAAAATTTAAATTCATTATGTGTCATAAAATCTGCTTCGTTATCAGTTTTCCAGATACAAGTGATTAATTTTTAGGCTCATCGCTTTCACTGACTATGTTTTGCCATAATACCGAAAATTACAAATCTGCAATCAGGTTTCTTTAAAAAAACATGAGATTCTTTATAACTCTATGCTTTAAGTTGGTTAAAATACTAAAATTTTTCAAATAACATCAAAACTAAATTCCATTCCAGTTATTAGCTCAAAAGGGCGTTATCCCGAAAGGGCTATTAGTCTCCAAATGGGATATTGCGTTGTCCACCATAAACGGCGAATCTGCCACCAAATATTATCGCCCTGTATTATTTTTAAATAAATTAAATAAGACGTATGTATGTATATACGTTTCTCGCTTTGTGAAAAAACTGCGTTACCTAGAGCCACCTAATTTTGGATAACGTTGTCTTCCACTCGAACATTCTCACCTGGAAGCCCGAATTTCAAATTTCGAAAATCATATTTCATATTTTGTATACCTTTAATGAATTTTTGATTAACAAACTCAACGTTTAAAAGCAATCAGTGGCAACACTGTACCGAATAAAATTTTTTTTATCTCCAGCGCGCTAGACTCTATCGGAAATTCTAAACGCATGTTGTTTTTAAATATTTTGTGATTTTGCTTATGAATCGAATTTTATATGGCGTAATCGTCTAGAAGTAGTATTTAATAAATAAAATAAATACATGAAACGCTAATAATAAGAAAGAAAAAAAAAGAGTTTTGCAAGCCATCTTACTGCGTTTTTCTATTTTACACACAGATACGCGTTTCGAGAGCATTTTGGTAACATCCCTTAGGGATAAAAAAATTTTGAAACAGTACAGCTTTAGAATTTCCGATAGACAGTTTCGCGCATTGTTTAAATCTGATACTATCTTGTCTTAGAACCCATTTGTTGATCTCATCGAAATAATTTTATATCTAATTTGTTTTAAATCTAATTATACTTTGTAGAATCATTAGGTTATTTTGAAGAGGAGACATGAAAACTGAGCAATGATCTCGCCGGAATTCGGATCCAGACTTCTCGAACGCGCTTCGACTGTGCTTCCAATCACAACATGAAGAAGTGCTGGAAGGAGGGAGAAATTAAAGAGATAATATTGGACATGCTAAATCCCGTTTAAGGAGTTTTTCCGACTTAAGATGTTTATTTCACAAAGTTTAATTTTTTTCTTTCCTATTTCCATAACATAAAATATTTTCGCATAGCATGTTTTTATCTTAAAAGACTTTCCCACACTAACATAGACTTAAGTATCTCTTTTAAACTGGTATCGTCTCTTTCTTAAATATTAACTAATTTTTTCAAAAATAATTTATGAGTATTTTTGATTAAATAATTAAAATTGTAATTAGTAATAATGCAGAGATTTATATTTATTTTAAATAATCAATTCAATTGAATTTTACGTTCTTTCCTATAAGCCTTCATTTCCCTAATTGTCAACGCCAAAATATTTAAATTTGGCAGCGCGCGTGAAGTAATACTAATTTTACCTTGAGGGAGAAAAGTTTAAATACCAAGTTCTAAAAGGAAAATGAGAAAGTTTGGGCATTCGCCGTCACCTCTGTAGCATGAGCTTCTATTTCTGCAGTAGTTATTGCTGGTGTTGTGAGCTCCAAGATTTATATTTGGTAACGATATTCAACAGCCGTTGTGTTCCTTTTTAGACAGATTTTGTTTTTTGTAGTTTGGCAACAGTAAGAAAGATTAGAATAATGTTTTGATTTCCTTAAGTGTATAAGCAAATAAAGTTATGGCTTTCTTAAGCAAGAAGACGTAATTGTTTATATAAAATATTTATTTTCAAGTGTTATATAACAGAGTTAGATTTAATTTAAAGGCGAGATCGACTGAATGAAATAATATTCAGGTAGAATAAACGCAACAGCTGGTTTACCTGGCATAATAGCTTTGCTGCCACTAGTTTTCGACTCGGTTTTAAGTAACAGGAGATTTTCGAGCCCTGTAGAGAATTTCTATTACTTGTTAATATCTTCGAATTTTTAGTTTAGTTCTTGTTGTTTCAGTTACCGCCCGAGTGAGGCGTATTGTGTTAGCGTCAAGTCGACGCATTGTGAATTTTAGAGAGTTTAATAAAGTGTACTTTTAACCCTTCTCTGTAGTTCTTACACGCACTTACTACACGTGCATTTGTCAGTTAGAAGATAAGCAAGTGGATTTTACAATAAAATGTGATAAAAACATGCCAAAAAATTCAATAAAAGTTGCAGATTCTAGTTTGTAATATTTAAACAAAGTTTGATGAAGACAATTGAGCTAAAAGTGAAATTAAATCAGTTAAGTTTTAAAATATTAATTAACATCAAACTATTTAAATTTAATTTAATAACAAAAAAATGGATTTAATTTCAAAATAATCAATCAAAGTGTACATTTATTATTATGATATCAGCAACCCGCTTTATGAGTAATCATAATTTTGAAAAAAGAATGTCATTTTAAGAAATTGTTTTTTATTTGGTAATTTGGAAAACTTCTTAAACGGGTGTTGCTGCATTTACTAAAATTTATATACAACTAGCCTCTAAAAATTTGCAAAACTTTAACAGTTGAACATTTAACCCTTCTTTTTTTGCAACTTTAATGGAAACGTGCGTTGTGTGTAATAATTATAACAAATTTCTAATATTACCTTGCTAACGTCGAACGGTTCCTTGACTTTGACATCGGGACATCCACCTACGTCAACCTTCTGTGAGAGAGCTTCACCAGAAAGCACTGCTACCAGAACCACTGAAAACGCCAAATGAAACATTTCGAAGAAAATTTATTACTCTGTTTCCTCTTAACTCTCGTCTGGAGGTAAGAATGAGTGAAGTAATGAAGCATGCTTCTCTTTATTTAAAGTGTTCATTGCGTAAGCTTTATTCGATTACAAAGGATCTAGAATGATAAAACTAATCTATCGATAAAGATGTCAGCGAAAGAATCGCAGGTGTTATTTTTGAGAGTCATTTCCTGAACCCCAACGTAAACCGTCAAGTGGTTATTGTTATGCGAATATTCAGTGCTAAATAGAGACCGGAATAAAAGAAATAATAATGTTATATAATTACTATATCTAATATTTACAGTTGCAGGTTGGCAGAAAATATTAGATAAAGGTTTTATTTTTCATGATTCACTGTGTTTTTTTTTTTTTTTTTTTCCAACGCATAACATTTAATGTCTGAGATATGAACAATTTATTATTAAATTACTTTACCTTGAAAGTGTACGGAATGTATTTACGTTAAGAAGTCAAATTTTATTTTATGAATTTTACTAAAAGTTTGCATGCTTCGGATTTTAATGCAAATGAATACATATGATTATATTAAAAATAAATAAATGAATACACATATATTATTACCGAATAAAGCAAATTTTATGAACGTGAGTTTAAATTACCCATAAAAATGTGTGATAAGGAATTTCATATAATATCTACCATGTTTCGTGTGAATAGCTACAATGATAAGTTAATGGTAAAACAACTCAGCCACCTGTACGTCATTTATTAGCTTCTTTTCACAAACTTTCTGTTTCAGTTTCATCTAAAATGTTTCAATTGGCTTAAGACCTGTTACCGCTAGCAATGTTCTTTTTGTAAAATTTAAACGCCATCCCCCAAAAAACAAGAATAAATTTTTCTCTCTAGCGTTCGGTTTTTACTTTTTACTGAAAAGGTAATTCTTTGTTGATTTCAGTCATGACAACACTTCAGCTATGCGATGAGTGAAGGAAGAGCAGGAGTAGTTATTAGATAGTAGTCTAATAACTACTCTTAAAGTCTTATGTCCTCTTATATAAATCTATACTTCGACCAGCATTAATCTATGCTAGTCCTGTTTCGGGCCACGCTGCCAAAACTCACCTTCAGCACAGCCAAGTTCTTCAAAACAAAGCACTAAAAGAGATTATCAAAGCGCCATGGTTCATTCCAAATTCGTATATCCACCGTGATCTCAAAGTTGATACAGTTCAAGATTATATTCAAAAACTTGCCAGAAATTTCTTCTTTTCAGTTCTCACTCATCCTAACAACTGCATCAACTCTGAGCTTCGACCAGAAACTCACCTTTTTCGTCGACTGATGGCGGCCACCTGACTTTTACTTTCGTCTTTTTGTTTTACTGATGTTCTTCACGTGATATAGAGTCAAAGGAAGTGCTGCTTTCTGAAACTCAAATTCACTATATGATCTTAGTTCTTAGATAGTAGTAGTTGTTGTAGTTATTATAACCAGTAATAATTGCTGCCTACAGACTTGAAAATTCAGAAATCCATTACGAAAAGAGATGCCTTCGTGGAAGATGCCTTCATTCTAAGGTAAACCAACACGAATAGAATGATTTAAAAATAAACCATCTGTTTGACATTAGTAGCTTGCAACAACATTCATTAATTTCGTTCAGGGAGAATTTCTAAATAGGCAATGCCCCCTGACGACGAGGGTATTCAACGGTACACCACCTTGGCGGTTTTATAGAGTGTTTTAGAGGGTCGTTTATTCTCAATGTTATGAATAAATGGTTACTAACCCTCTCAGCGTTACGGCCGGAAAATTCCGTACGGAAGGCTGTCTTCTATATTCATTATACATGAAAATTTCTGCTAGCTTTTAAATGTATCTGATTTTGGTTTGGATGTATATCGGAAGAAAAAGGAATCAAGGTACAAAATGAGATAGTCATTTTTTAATTAAAATCAAGAAAATATCACTTATTCATGACAATTTGAGGAACTTTGAACCATGGGTAATAATAAATGACACATACCATATAAATTTAAACATTTTATTTCTTACATGCTAATATAAGTTACTTAAGTAAGAAGAAACACTTCAAATGAGGAATAAAAATTTTAACAATATTTGCATGTACATTTCATTGGCTAGAACTATTTTTATTCTAAAATAGTGTAAGTGTTTTTTGGTTTTAATCTCGGTATAAAAATCTTCACAAGCTAATCCGATATTAATTTTACTGTAAAATTGGACTAGGAATATTGTAAACGCCCGGAAAGCCTCTCGCATCACGCATGTTCACGATTGACGAGACAAGACGATACGATGACAATATTATTTATTGGCAGATCATCACTCTGCTATAGTTTTCACCTTTCATACAGTACAGAGATAACTGACAAAGTAATTATCCTAAATAATACTTCACAGTTAATTATTTTTAGACTTTTTGGTTATCTACAAAATCAAATTTAATTTTTACCGGGATGAGAAGTAAACCCGCCGGGATTTTGTCTGAAAACTGTGACTGTCCCGGTCAAACCGAACGTCTGGCAAGCATATTTCTAAACATAAAAAGAGAGTATTTCTTCCACCTTCGTGGTGTAGGGGTCAGCACACTCGGCACGTATTCGAGAGGCCCGTGGTTCGAGTCCCGGGGAAGGCATTGCTTATTTCTTCAGTTTCCTGACATCCAAAAAAATTCTAAATGAATCTGCAGTGGCGCCCGAACTAAACACGGTGGTGGAGGATGATTCTTCACCACCAGGATTTGGCGATTGTTTCCCCTAAGTGCCAGTCGCCCTTTAAAAGGGGGAGTAATATAAGGTATTTCTCCCGTCTTCTTAGCCTGCCTTCGTGGTGTAGTGGTCAGCACTCTTGGCGCGTATTCGAGAGGTCCGTTGCTCGAATCCCGGTGAGGACATTGCTCATTTTTCATATCTCCTGCTTCAAAATAACCTAATGGCTCTACGAGATAAAGGAAGCATTTACATTGATTACATTACGCAGCATCTGGTCCATAATAGACCTGGAGCTGTACACAGTACTTCTGATCATACGGCATAATATAGGAGTACAATTCTTTAAATCTGATATTTTATTTACGTAGTATTAAATACTAGCAAATATCCTGGTGACAAAGAAACAGAACAAAAAAAGAAGTGACCGGACTGTCTGCTTTTCCTCCTTTTGAATCAGACATTTAAATTTTAAAAAATGCATTCAAATAAAAAAAATTGCATTCAAGTCAGGATTTATCAAATTAAAAATATTCAGTATTTTCATAGAATGACATTATATATATATATATATATATATATATTTCATTATTTATTTCATTTTTTTTAAAAAACTTTCATGAATTTTTCACTACCGAACTCAATGATCTGAAAGCGAGCACTGGCACCTCTCTACGGAATAAAAAAAATTTCCAGCGGGTGAGACTGTATATCGGAAATTCTAAAGATTTGTTCTTTTTAAATATTTTGTGATACTACTTTTTGAATTGAATTTTATGTGGTTTAAGTGCGAAGAACAGGATATTTAATTAATAAAAGTAACACACAAAACTTTAAAAAAAAAAAAAGTTTCTTTGGACGTGATATAAAATCTGCAAGTTCTCGGGTTGTTAAGTTTTTTCCCTTGCAATGCGAGACGTATCAAATCACTTCTAATAGTTTCACCTGATTAGAAAAGTTCTAAAATAAAGCTGATGAAAACTGAAAGTATTTTCAGTAGTATTGTCTAAATCAGCAATTGAGCAACTAATTGCTCGACTGTCTTCTACTACACGGTTCACTTCTATATGTGGTCTGTTAAAGCTTTCATTCTGTTCATTCTGTTTGGTAGGGTTTGCGACTTTTGAGAACAGACATTGACAGATGATTAAAATTGAATTTTATCAATTGACAAGCTTAAAGTTTTTTTTTTTTTTTTTAGTTCTTTAACCAATTTGTCGTAACTGATAACAGTATGACGAATCAACTCAGAATCTGAACCTTCTACCCGTAACTCTCTATTAATATAGATATAGAAACAACCCGAATGAATTACAAATGGAATTTATAAACTTACAAAAGAACGCTAATTTGAGAAACAAATTTCAGAACGTGGACATTTAAAAGTTTTACCAAAATTACATGATTTTCGAAAAACTTCTACGATGACTTATGCATGCAATGTAAATCATACTTTTTAGAAGGACTTATATTTACTAGAAATTATTTTCCGTAATGAAAATAATTAATAGCGACATACGATCGAGGCTAAGTGACGTACGATTGGAAAACTGAGCACGCGTGGCTGTGTCGTCTGTATCTGCAAGTATAAATGAACTGATTGCAAATAGGCAATGCCAATTTCTCATCCCAATTTGCTTAAGATTTTTTTTCTTATAATAATTATCTGCTGTTCAATTTCTGCAGTATTTCATTTTTTAGTCCAAAGGGGCAATTTGCGCAGAAGGACTATTAATTTCGTTTTGGAATTTGGCTTGATTCACTATAAACGTTAAATCAGAGCCCTCTATTATATTAAAAAAACTAATTAATGAAAAATATTCATAAATGTATGTATGTTTCTCCCATTGAGATAAAACAACGGTACCTATAGAGCGATCAGATTTTGAATACCGTAATCCCCCAGCGAGTATGGGTATCTGGAAGCCCTAATTTGGAATTTGGAATTTGTTTTACTATCTATTTCATATTTTGTAAAACTTTAACGAATTGTTGATTAACAAACTCAGAGATTTCAAAATGAGCAATGGCAACACTGTACGGGAAAAAAAAAAATTATGTTCAGCGCACGAGACTGTGTATCAGATATTCTAAAGATATTCTCATTTTAAAACTATTTTGCAATATTTCTTTTGAACTGAATTTTATGGTTTAAGTGCGAAGAACATGATATTTGATAAATAAAGGTAACACACAAAACGTTAAAAAAACACCGCCCCTTTGGGCGTAATGTCAAATCTGAAAGCTTTCAGATTTTTATTTATTTATTTATTTATTTATTTGTTTTATTTGTATTATTTTTAACAAAACCGTTATTTTGTTAACAAATAT